AGCTTGGGGATTAGTGGTCATGGGTTTTCTGCATGGAAGCCTGGCACTCGGAGTCTCTGGGGGTTCTGGCTGGGAGCCGGGAGCCGGGAGCCGGGAGCCGGGAGCCGGGAGCCGGGAGCCGGGAGCCGGGAGCCGAGACTCAGAGTTGGGCAGCATCTGTGCCTTCCTTCAGTGATTGATATTCGTGGCCTAATTTTCCTTGCCTGAAGCGTTTCCCAATGTCTTGCCTCTCCTGTTCAAAGGTCTTCCTGGCCGGCCTGGCCAGGCAATCAATGGCAAAGATGGAGACCGAGGATCCCCGGGGGCTCCAGGAGAAGCTGGCCGACCCGGCAGGCCAGGCCCAGTGGGGCTGCCTGGTTTCTGTGAGCCTGCCGCCTGCCTGGGGGCTTCAGCCTACGCCTCTGCTCGTCTCACAGAGCCTGGGTCCATCAAGGGGCCATGAGCAACCAGCCAGGACAGAGCCTATTAGCCTCCTGGGTCCCCTCTGAGTGGACATGCACCCCAGCCCCAGCCCAGGAGGCTAGATTTCTCAGGACCTTGTCTGGAACCCAGGGGTCCTGAAGACAAGTTCAGTGAGGGAGGGGCTGGGGAGAGAGAGCACTCCTGAGGGAACAGGGTGCCCTTTCTTCCCAGAGTATCCCTCATCTGTGCCATTCCACCCTCGGGGCAGGTAGGCCTCTGATGGTCCTCATCCATTCCCACTGTCTGGACTTATTTTTATTGGGTGTCTGCTGAGGGTGAGGACCCTGAGCTGGCAATCCTTAGGGCCAGCCCCACTGTTGCCTTTCTGCCTCCCATCTGAGTATTTAAACACCATCTCCCTGGTTTCTGGCATCACTGTTCTCCAGTCCCCTTTGCCCACACCCACTCTGGCCTTCGTGTAAATAAAAGTTCCCAACTTGGTTACACACTGACTTCTTGTGGGTGAGGATGGGAAGCTGTTGCTGGGTCTCCACGGCTTGGGCAAGTGGTAAAGGGCTCACAAATGGGAGGGGAGGACTGGACCCTCCATCTGGGACATCTTAACCCGTGAGCATTGGGATGGCAGGCCTATCTGAGAAACTTCTGTGGTGAGAACCCAAGGGTCGAGGAGGGGTGTTGATCCACCGTGTAACTTCGGGCAAACCTCAAGTCTCTTTGTGTAGTGGTGACAAGGGCTTAGCCATGCCATATGTATAAGAGTAAACCATACCCACTGGGTTGCCAGGGCTCTGTCTTTCTCCCTTCCTCCCCTTCTCTCCCCCTTCCTTTTGACAAGGCCTCAGGTATTCAGGCTGGCCTTGAACTTGCTATATGGCAGAGGATGACCTTGAACTTCTAGGTTTCTGCCTTCTGCTGGGATCACAGGTGTGCACCCCCACACCATTTTTGTGGCACTGCGGTCAAACCTGGTGCTTCATTCATTGTGTATCAGGCAAGTGCTCTTATCCACTGAGCGACGTCCTCAGCCTCACACTCATGCCCCCTGGCCTGTCTCAGTGGCCCCTGTGTGCTCACTCTGGAGCAGGAGCTTGGGCTGGGAGATTGGAAGACTTGTTTGGTGCCTTCCAGGAGCTCCTGTGAGGAAAGAAAAAGACATGGGTCTTGAAACGCTAAGGGACACTGGCTTAGATCTCTGGTCTGGCTACCCTGGTCACTGTTCTCTTGGCCAGCCGGCAGCTTTTGATATTAGATGGCGTCTTAGTCAGCATTAGTATTGCTGTGCTGAAACACCATGACCAGAGCAACCTGGGAAGGGAAGGGTTTGTTTGGCTTATGCTTCAACTGGCACAGTTCACCATCAAAGGAAGTCATGACGGGAATCAACACAGCAGGAACCTGGAGGCAGGAGCTGAAGCAAAGGCCACAAAGAGGGCTGCTTCCTGGTTGGCTAGTCATCATATCTCCACCCCCCCCCCCCCCCCTGCACATTCCCCCACTCTCCACCCTCCACTGCATGGCTTGCTCAGTCTGTTTTCTTACAGAACTGGGGGGGGAGGGGGAAATGGCTCCACCCACAATGGGCTGGGCCTTCCCACATCAATCACTAGTAAAGAAAATGCCCTACTATGGAGACATTTTCTCAACTGAGGCTCCGTCCTCTCTGATGACTCTAGCTTGTGTCAAGTTGGCAACACAGATGGCTAAATGTTTTGTTTCACTATCAATCTGGGTATATGTTGTCTCCAAAGGAAGCACTCTGCATCCTGGTCCCTCCTGGAGGCACACAGCATTGTAGCCCAAGGCCAAGCACCTGCTGAAGCCTGCCCTCCCTCTCCTCTTCACTCAATACACATTTACCATTAGGGACTTAGTAGTTCCTTAACCACAAACTGGGATCAGCCAGGAGGGATTAGGTGCGGCAGAACCAAGGGCCAGCGAGGTAGTTTTATCTTTAGTGCTTTGGCCAATCTGTTATGGCACCCTGGCCTCCACAGAGAGGCCCTGGTATGTGGCTACCAGGGAGTCCTTGAAATAGAACCAGGGTCTGGTGAAGCGAGGGGAAGAGAGTTGCCCTGGCCCTGAGCAGGTGCTCATAGCCTCAGGGACATGGTGGTGGCAGTGACTCTCTGATGCTGGATCCCATACTTGGTCTGGTGCCTGGAACCTCGGGCTTAAAGACTAAGCCTTACTCCTTGATGTGTCTTCATGTGCTGGCTTAGGAGCCCTTTCCTGGTCCTCTCTGTGACTTAACAAGACAGGACACTGGATGGTTTCAATGACAATAGGGAAGCTGATGGTTCACAAACTGTACCCAGCCACACATCATTTCTGTGAGGGGAGCATTTGAAAGGGCCAAAGGGGTCTAATTCCTAAGGACCAGTGGCCTGTGCCTTCTGCAACTTCCTGGTGGGTGGGTTTCACGCTGATCAGGAGTGTGACCTGCAAGTCTTCCACATGCCCCTCAGAATGCGTCCTGTGCTCTGGCCCCAGTCCATCCTACTCCAGCCATACTTCCTGGGCGGTTTAAGCATGCTATGCCACACACATGCTATTCCCATGGCTGGGAAGGCTGCTCCACCAAATAGCCTTACCCCAGCACCTTGCTTCACCCTTGGCTCAAAAGTCACCTCAATCCTTCCCGGCATTTTCTCCTTAGTGCTTGAGTTTGACTAAGACATCAGAATATAAACCCCATGAAGGAAGGCACTTGGCCGCTCTGGTTCGCTGCTCTGTTTTCCAGCACACGGTGCCTGGCACATAGCAGGTGATTAATATTCATTAAATAAACAAAAAATAAATTCAGGACACAAAGGAACAAGACTCATCAAACTAGGAATGAAGGGACTTGGATTCAACCTCTGTGTGGCTGTGTGCTCTGGCGGCCCAAGACTCCCAGTGGCTCTGCACTAAGAGCAGGACCCTGTCCTCTCATGACTCCTCATGTACCCCCTCAAAATGATGTGGGGGTACGGCAACAGAGCACTTGCCTAGCATGAGAGAGGCCCTGGATTTGATCCCCAGTAACACACACGCTCTCTCTCTCTCTCTCTCTCTCTCTCACATACACTCACACACTCACACACACACACACACACACACACACAAATGACATTTACAGAAATGACACTACAGCTAGCTGGTTCGGCTGTCCCCAGAGATTGCGCATGATTCCTCCAGGTCATACCTTGCAGCGCTTCCCCAACTACCATTTCATGGGACACCAAGATTACCTGCCACAGGGTAAGATCCCACCACCTGTCAGCTTCTAATGGAAACCAGGGCAATCCTGTAAAGCTAAGACACCATGCCCTAAGCCTTCACATCCAAAGCTTCCTACCAAGTAAAAGTTTAAAGCCAGGTGTGGTAGCACATACCTTAAATCTCAGCACTCAATGGGCAGAGGGAGGCAGAGCTCTGTGAGTTCAAGGCCAGCCTGGTGGTCTACAGAGTGAGTTCTGGGACAGCTAGAGAAACCCTGTCTTGAAAAAACAAAAACCAAAGAAAGTTTAAGTCCTCTCCTTCCCTCAGAGTACTGGGGTCAAACCCAGGATCTTGTGCATCCTAGGTGAGCACTCTAACTGATCCACATCCCCAGCCGCCAAAGTCCAATAAAATCCTCCCTGTTCATCTCCTAATCCCTCCAGCACTCACCCTTCCCACCTTCTGGCTTTCTGGTGTTGCTCATATTTCTAGGCCTTTATACCTATTGTTCCCTTTTCATAAGATGCCTCCAGTACCCTGTAAAAGACCAATTATAGTTTTAACTACACACACACACACACACACACAAGCGTGCGCGCGCGCTAAAGTCTAACTTCTAAATTAGTCATAGTGAGAGATTAATAGTAACTAATAGAACAGTTATGACAATACATTTTATCTAAGGTCTGGACTGTGGCTCAATTGACAGAGTGCTTCGACTCTGGATTCAAACTCCAGCAAAACGCAAACACGGTGGCACCCATAATTCCAGCACTCAGGAGGTGGAAGTCCAAGAAGGTCAAGTTCAAGATCATCCTCAACTACACAGCAGGCTTGAGGTCTGCCTGGATATAGGAGACTGTATCTCAAGAAGTTTCTCTTTAACAACTTGACAAATGTTAGTATTTCTGCAATGGGCAGAAAGAAAAACTACAGGAGAGAGGGGCTAGGGCATCTTGCTCACTGTTACCTAGACTTGAGGATCAGAGGCGAGCTCTGCGGTCCAGACAGGGCAGTTGTCTGTTCACTGGTATAGGCAATGCTGGTTTCTTGGGCTTTAGACGACATGGGTATCTCCTGATTGATCTGGATAAGAGAGAGGTCCAGAGGGTGGCCGGAACAGTAAAAAGCAAGCCCAAGACAATCTGAGGTTGCAGCAATGAAGAAGAAATAATTCCAAAGCTGCTTCTGAGGGAATGCCAGCAAGAACTGGCGACGTGTGTGCTGGAAAGAACAGGAGGCGGCCATGAATGGCACTGGTGTCACTCAGGCTCAGGGCTGTTCACGGGATCCATGACAGCACCGTGCCTGTAGGCGACCAACACATCTGGGAAACATGACGCACAAATCACAACACAAAACCCAACACCAGGACGTAAATCTGCGTTGGCAATTTTTAATGTCTCACTTGTGCAGAACTGAAATGTGTATTTAAAGGCACGGGAGGAAGGAAAGGCAATTCTCTGAGCGTGAAGTCATAGGAAAGAATGCTGGAGAGAAACCTTGGGCCGCTCTGCTTAGCTGTAGGAATCAGACAATGCGGGGCTGAACTGGAGCTCGGAGGCCATGATGGTCTGTGTGAAGGCACCACTCACACGTCAGCAGGGCACAAGCCAGTCCTCGTGTGGTCATCCCGGCTGTGGAGAAATGCCCAGGAGGTGTGCACCACGGTGAGCGGAGTGGCAGGAGCAGCATGGTTCACACTCAGGACACAGACAGACGTCTGAAGTGGTCAAGCACACACCTTTACCACTGGAGATCTTTCATGATGCTGTCTCTAAAAGGAAACATCTGCCTGCCTACCAAGAATTATAATTTAAAAAATGGAATCTGGTATAATTATAACTTGTGAATAAAAAAAAAATACGAAAACGAAAGCAGACATCTGTCCTCGAAAAAGACAGGAAACTTCTTTCCTGTAATAGAGAATCATGTCTAGTTCCCCCTTACGTCTTTTCAAATGTCATCTCCTCTTTTTCTCATCTCCTGCCACATTTAACACTGGGAAATGTGTACAGTACAGCGACGTCTGTTAGTGAAAGGGTGTGTGTACTATCATCTGCTGGGGAAAAACGAGAAAAAGCTAGTTTACCTCTAACAAGGCCAGGTGGGAGGAAAAGTTAAGAATTGAGACCAACCTTCTCTTCTCTCTCTCTCTCTCTCTTTCAGACAAGGTCTCACTACAGAGCCCCGACTGGCCTCTGCCTCAAGTGCTGGGATTAGAGGTAAGTGCTATCAAGCCTGGCTCAAAATTAAGACTTTCTTAAAAGTGAACCCAAACTCAATGATTTAAAAGATTTCTAATTTCAAGTACTATTAATGCCTAAGCTGGGTGTGGTGGCTCACACCTGCAACCCCAGCATTTGGAAGTCAGAGAAAGGAGGAAGAATAAATCTGGGGTCAACAGGGGCTAGAGTGAGACCTTATCTCAAAAAGTTAAGGAAGAGAGGAAGGGAAGGAGAAAGGAAGAAAGAGAAGGAGGAAGGAGGGAGAAGTGGGGAGGGAAGAGGAAGGAGGGGATTCTCGATTGGCATGTGGCCAGAAAGGACAGAAAGTCTGTGCCTGCAGCGGCACAGCACAGACTAACAGAACAGAAAGCCTGGGCTTGCAGCACAGCACAGACTAACAGAACAGAAAGCCTGGGCCTGCAGCACAGCACAGACTAACAGAACAGAAAGCCTGGGCCTGCAGCACAGCACAGACTAACAGAACAGAAAGCCTGGGCCTGCAGCACAGCACAGACTAACAGAACAGAAAGCCCGTGCCTGCAGCACAGCACAGACTAACAGAACAGAAAGCCTGGGCCTGCAGCACAGCACAGACTAACAGAACAGAAAGCCCGTGCCTGCAGCACAGCACAGACTAACAGAACAGAAAGCCTGGGCCTGCAGCACAGCACAGACTAACAGAACAGAAAGCCTGGGCCTGCAGCACAGCACAGACTAACAGAACAGAAAGCCTGGGCCTGCAGCACAGCACAAACTAACAACATCCATTTCAGTAACATTAGCCTCACTAACTTTTACTTTTTTTTTCTTATTTAAAACATTGATTGGCCAGGTTAAATCAGAACAGCATGAAGGTAAACACAAATTGCATGTAGGTACAAGCACAATGATTTGGGACCACAATTTCTGTCTCGCAGAAAGTACCTGGAGGTAGCGTCCCCCTTTAAACACATAACCCGAAAACCCTCTATGCAGATTCACATAGTGAGGAAATAAACGAGTTGTGCACTGCCTTAAATAATTGTACAAATTGGTGCTACACCAGATGTTAGATAAGACTATGCTTTAAAAATATTAAACCTCAATTTATTATCCAGTGTTTTAAGAAATGGATTATTAAAATCATTTTTGAAATGAGATTGTAAATGTATTTAAATCTGGACTTTTATGTACTTAATCATTTTTCTTAAAAAATTAAAAACATCAAGAGCTGGAACATGCTGCCAAGACAGAAATAATTGGAAGTGTGTCCAGTCGCTGAGTGGCTCAGTCTTGTTTTTTGTCTTTCAAAGCCTGAAGCCTCTCTAGCAGTGGGGGGTGCGAGTAGTGCCACATTGAAAACAGCCAGTCAGAAACGGGGAACCCCAGGTTATCTTTGTTCAGCTTGATCAAAGCAGAATATAAGTCTTTAGCCATTCCAAGTTTCTTGGCAAAAGCATCGGCCTGAAACTCAAATCTGCGGCTCAGGACTGTTAGGCAGAAAGACAGAACCTGCAGGAGAAAAGAAAAGGTTTAGCTGCCTGGCACCTTTATTGATAGGGAAGTCTTCATGAGCCAGGCTGTGGAGGAAGGCTGGTCAGGATATGAGAAAGGCAAGCCAAACCTACTATGAGACTATAACTTAGGATTCAAGGATGGGTGGGGTGGGGTTGTCAAACTGAGTTTCCCCCACCCCAAGCAAACAGACCAGAAATGTATACATCCTTATTACAATGGAGCTCTTGAGAATGTGCCGAGTGCCAGGCTTCACCCTTGAAGAATGTCTCAACTTCTACTGTACAGGTCAGCAGGTGAAGCCCAGAGGGCCACAGGGCTGGGAGGTTAGTGCTTAACTAAGGGTGACTCAAAGCCAGCGCAGCCCGGTGTTCCCAGTCAGTTCTGTGCTCACGTCCTGTCCCTAATATACCTGTTTCCTTGTTTCTCTGCGGCAGGGTTTTACATAACCCAGGCTGACCTCAAACTCCTCATCTTCTGCCCCCACATCCCAGTGCTAGGATTACAGGAATCCCCTACTACACCCGGATGTTCTTTTTCAAATATTCATTTTGGCTTATGTTTTGCCTAGTACCCAAAGAGGTCAGACAGGGGCTTCAAGATCCCTTTGAACTGGAGTTACGGATGGCTGAGTCATCACGTAGGTACTGGGAACTGAACCCAGGTCCTCTGCAAGGGTAGCAAGTGCTCTTAACCACTAAGCCAACTCTCTAGCCCCACAGAGGATCATAATATTCTTAATCATTTATCTATCTTTAATACGTCTTCACTGAGATTATTCTCAAACATATGACAGAATCTCTGACAATAGTTTCAAATTTTTTTTTTTAATTTATTTATTTATTTATTTTTCTTGGTTTTCCGAGACAGGATTTCTCTGTGGTTTTGGAGCCTGTCCTGGAACTAGCTCTTGTAGACCAGGCTGGTCTCTAACTCACAGAGATCCGCCTGCCTCTGCCTCCCGAGTGCTGGAATTAAAGGCGTGCGCCACCACCGCCCAGCGTCAAATTCTGTTTTGTTAGCAAAATTTGGTCTATGTAGCTGGCCTCACACTCTTGCTCCTCCCCCTTCAGCTTCCTGAGTCAAAACTGAATGTTATGGAAAATTATTAATATTATTTTAACTGTGTAAAGGCGTTACATTGTTTCTGCTGCTTTTTTTTTTAAAAAATCAAATGTTTTTTTTTTATATTTTATTTATTTATTATGTATACAATATTCTGTCTGTGTGTCTGCCTGCAGGCCAGAAGAGGGCATCAGACCCCATTACAGATGGTTGTGAGCCACCATGTGGTTGCTGGGAATTGAACTCAGGACCTCTGGAAGATCAGTCAGTGCTCTTAACCTCTGAGCCATCTCTCCAAGTTCACAGTTTTTAAAGACCATTAAGAAAGGGAATTTTTTTAAGGAAAAATATAAAATCTGAGGGATTAAAAAGTCTTTGCAATTGCACTTGGGAAACAGAGGCAGGTAGATCTCTGAGTTGGAGGCCAGGCTGGTCTACAAAGTGAGCTCTAGGACAGCCAGGGCTACACAGAGAAATTTAATGCCTAGGGCTAGAAAGATGGCCCAGCATTTAACAGATGTACTGATCTTCCGGGGGATCCAGGCTGGATTCCCAGCAACAATGTCAGACAGCTTACAGCTCCAGGAGCATCCATCAACTCTGGCCTCTGCTGGCACCTGCATTCACACGCCCGTGCCACAAACATCACACACATAGTTAAAAATAATAAAAGTAAATCTTAGAAACAAAAAAAAACAGTTTAATGTTTATAATTTAGAAATAATAAATACATGTTCTCTCAAAATTTATATAGCTTGTGTGGACACTTTACAGCTATTTCTCTCCATTTTTCTTTCATGGAATGCCCCACCCCCACCCTGAATGCTTTCCTAAGTGGAGAACTAGAATTCACCTAGTTGGTTGATAACCTCTACCCTAGGACCCATCTCAAGGATACATGGAGGTTCCTCAAGATCACTGATATTTCCTGGCTTCATCTGGAAGCCTTACCAAAGGCCATGAGATTCTGCTCTGAAGTGCAGAATCTGCTGGTGACGACTTTCTAACCTTACTTGTGATTTCGTGGGCCCTGGAGGGGACCCTAAAGTTCCTGTGAACAATCAAAGGAACACTTTCACATAGCTCCTTCCAGTCTCGCTGCCTCCTTCTCAGTTCCCATCCGTTTTGTCCTCTCACACAGGTGTTCACCCATGCTGTGAACACACGGCCTAGGACACGGCATAGCAGGTGACCTCCAGTTACTGGAGCTCAGAGGGACACATATCAAGGCTTCCACTGCTAAGCTCCAATTCTCTACTTCACTATTTAGACTTGGACTTCTCTGCTGCTTTTATACTGTCCGGTATACTTTATAATATACAGTGAGGAACTAGAAGCTTCTATGGCTTTGTTGATATATTTTCACACTACTCTAAAGAATTTGGATTTGAAACAGGCAAAAACACATACGTAGTAATTTTAAAAAGCATACATTACCTCATTGTAAGGTGAGAAAATAAACTGAAAGATGATCAAGAGTCCAATCAGAGTAGGTTGGCTGTCATAAAAACCAAAGGCAGCAAAAAGTATCTTTTGACCAATTAACACAGCAAACAAGAAGAAACACAGGAAAGAATTTATCTAGAAAAGAGGACATAATACTACTGGTTATTATGCCGCTAAGCAGGCTGTGTGCATTGTCTTAATCAATGATTGATGGGAGAGGGCTTATCTCACTGTGGGTGGTGACACTCTTGGGCAGGTGTTCCTGGGTTGTAGGCTGAGTAAGCCCTGAAGAGCAAGCAACCCCCCTATGGTAATGGTTCTCAACCTTCCTAATGCTGTGTAGCCCTGGCTACAGGAACTTGCTTCGTAGACCAGGCTGGCTTTGAACTCAGAGATCCGCCTCCCTCTGCCTCCTGAGTGCTAGGATTAAAGGTGTGCATCGCCACGATGAAGAGAACTTTAAATAGTACCTCTAACTGGCTATGGAGGAGACGGAGATGAAAATACACACTAATTTGCTGACAGTGGGCAGATGATAGTTTGGTTGGATGACCAGGGGCCTCGGAACATTCTAGAGTGAGGCTAGCCTGCTTCCACAGTTACTCTAGGACTTCCCAATGTGTCCTCAGGGACCAGCCTACTGCCTTGCGGGTAGGGTTGATCCCACCACACCCATCCCTTTACAGAGGGGCAGTGATTTTCCTTACAGATCAAGCACTGAGTTAGAAGTAGAATCTGGCTTTATTTAAGCCCTACATGCTGTGTTTGTACAGCACAGCTTCAAGCTAAGGAATTAAGTTTCTACTACCGACTTGTGGCAGCAGGAAAACCAGGCTCACCAGTCTTCCCACGTACGTCTGCACAGCCCAGAACCCACTGGTTATGGAACAGAGACCCATCCAAGACTCAGTGAAGCATGGCATGATGGGAAAAGCCTGTAACTCTAATGCTTGGGAGGCAGGATGATTACAAGTTGAAATCTCATTCTACAGGTTAAGGCTGTATGTACTCAGAACCAGCCAACACAGACAGCTAACTGCTATTTCAGCCAGAGCTTGAGAACATCTTCACTTCATTTGGAACAACGGTTTTCAACCTTCCTAATGTTGTGACCCTTTCCTACAGCTCGTGTTGTGGTGACCCCCAATCATAAAATTATTTTCATTGCTACTTCATAATTTTGTTACCAATATGAATTGTTATGTAAATGTCTGTATTTTCTGATAGTCTTAGGTGACCCCTGTGAAAGGGTCGCTCAACCCCAGAGCGGTTGTGATCCACAAGTTGAGAACCACTAGTTTAGAGGAACTAGCAACACCCTGAGGAGGAGTGGTTACTGGAATTGCTTTCTGCAATTTTTGTGAATATATAATTACTCTGAAATGAGGAAAGGCTTGAGTTGACTTTGGTTTGGTGCTGTTTCCTGGGAGACAGGATGTGCCAGTTGATCTTCATTCAACCTGACACAAACCTGGCATATCTGGGAAGAGGAATCTCCTGTGAGAAAGTGACCCTACCAGTTGGCCTGGAGGTAAACCTGTAGGGCATTTTCTTTTTTTTTTTAATATTAAAGATTTATTTATTATGTATACAACATTCTTCCTCGATGTATGCCAGCACGCCAGAGGAGGGCACCAGATCTCAGTACAGATGGTTGTGAGCCACCATGTGGTTGCTGGGAATTGAACTCAGGACCTCTGGAAGAGCAGCCAGTCTCTTAACCTCTGAGCCATCTCTCCAGCCCAGGGCATTTTCTTGATTGATGACTGATATAGGAGGCTGGGGGCATCTGCACTCAAGTACACATACTCACTGCAGACACACATCCCTATGCATGATCACCATGAAAATAAATCTTTTTAAAAAATAGATCCTTCTAAAATACCTTTTAAAAGTAGAAATACAGTATCTGTACTTTATATGTATGATTTATTTATTTTTGTATAGCGTGTATGAGGTTTTGTGGCAGCATGCAGACAAGCATGTGGGGGTCAGGACAACCTGCAGGAGTCAGTTCTCTCCCGCCACTGGGTGGGTCCAGGAATCAATCTAGCACTGTTCCTTGAGGGCATGTACCTTTACATACTGAACATCTCATCCACCTTAGGAAAGCATTTTAATGTACACCCTCACAGCTCATGTATCTGAGCAACTCTGGAAGTGACAGCAATGATGAACACTAGTATGTATTTAACATGTTCCCACCATGCTCAGTACACTTCCAAACTCTGCCAGTACATGGATACATTTAATTCCTAACCAGCCCTATGCTGTATTATTCAACGAAGAGATGCAGGCAGAGACAAATTAAGGAATTGCCTCAGGTCTCACATATAAACTTGGAATCATAATGAGAAGTCAGGCAGCTTGGCCTCAAAACTGAGATCCTCCTGCCTCAGCAGCCTCTTGAATGGTAGGATTACAAGTCTGTGCCATCACTCCTGGCTTGATGAATGCCTCGTCCCCATTACTATACAATGTCTCCGGTCTGTTATACTTTACTTACTTACTTAGCTTTTCTTTTTAAGGTCAAGTCTCAATATGTAGCTCAATTGGGCCTGGAAGCTGCTACATAGCTCAGGGCAGCATTTGGCTTCTAAAAATTTTAATTTATTTGTTTTGTTTATCAGACGTGTGTGTGTACAAGAAAGAACACGTGCCACATTGCAAGTGTGGAGGTCAGAGGACAACTTGAGGAAGCTGGTTCTCCCTTCCACCGTGTGAGTCTTGGGGTTGAACTTAGGCTTGGCAGCAAGCACCTTTAACTGCAAAGCCATTTCACCAGCCCCTTGAGCATAGATATTTCCGCCTAGGAGTCCTGAGTGCCTTAGATTACAGGTGGGCACCACCACACTCACTTCTGCCATTCTAACTCTGCCTTTGTAACAAGGTACGTGTGAGCCAGACTGCAGGTGCACAGCTGGAATCCCAGAGCAGGGAGTGAAGGCAGGTAGAGTTCAGTTCAAGGTCATCTCTGGCTATGTGAAACCCTGACTCAAAGAAAACAAAACAAAATACAACCATCACTCCAAACTTACCTGACTAATGATGATATTTTTTATTGTGTGTGCCAACTTCCAGTGTCCCAGTTCATGGCCAAGTACAGCCAACACCTCCTCATTTTTACATCCTTGTTTCTTATTCTGAATCAAAAAGAGAGAAAATAACCTATTAATAACCTTTAATTCGTTTCTATCTTTAGCCTTGATCCAGTAATGTCCCTTCATTAATTGTAACGTAAATAACAGATTTCAGTATAGAACTTTGCTTAACACGACATTTCACTACATGCACCCCAAAGACAGAACTATAAACAAAACAGTATCCAACTTCACTAAGGGAGAACAAAAAAATTGGAAAAGCATAAATCTTTATCAGTAAGTAAAGAGTTAATAAGTCATAATGAAACCATTTGATAGCCACATCCTAAACCCATTAGACACTTCATCCTCAAGTTTGCTCTGAAGTGGAAACTCCTTATGACGAGCAAGTAACTGCCATGCACACAGTCACCAGGAATGCTGAGGGGAAGCGCGGTGTCAGGAGCAGTCAACTGCATATGACAGACTGCAGTGACCTGACTGCTTGACATCCTTCCTATTCTCCAAATGTCTACAAATATGCACATCTCAGTTATGACTTAAAAATATACCAGTAACAGCTGTTTAAGAATAGATCCTCAGGGCTAGGTGATACAAAGCCTGTTGCCTAATACGCACAAGGCCCTGGTTCTAATCCCCAGCACTACCAAAAATCAGAAAAGTAAAAACTGATTTAGGTTATAAGATAATGCAAGGAACACAGGAGAAACAGGAAGGGTGAAACCAGGAATGTGGGAGCAGGAAAGTGGAGCGGCAAATAGCAGCACATTAAGCAGACAAAGCTGAGTCCCAAGGCAGCAGTGGAGCATACGGAGAGGGATCTGACTATACTGGTGAGCTTTCAAAGGACATGGAGAACAACACCAAGCACCCCTGGAGCTGGAGAGAAAGAGGAAGTAGGCTTGAATAAGACCCAAGAGACTAGAGAAATGGCTCAGTGGGCAAAAGTGCTTATGCCAACAAACATAAAATTACGAAAAGTTGGCTCAACATATAAAGGTGCCCGCTACCAAGGCTGATGGCCTGAGTCCAATCCTTAGGACTCGTATGGTAGGAGAGGATCGAATCCTGAAAGTGGTTCCTTGACCGCCACATGTATGCCCAGGCACATGGACACCCCACCCCTACATGTCACACATACAACAATAACTGAACTCAGTTAAAGAAAACCAAAAAACAGAAATCTAACATTCAAGTAACATGATCTCTGAAAAGAAAACAGAAACAAAAAATAGCAGCTGGTGTGTGTGTGTGTATGCATAAGTGTGTGTGTGTGTGAGTGTACTAGGACAGACAAATGCAAATCTTCACCAGGCCCGTGCTCCATAAAAACCTCAGGGTCCTTCAAGATTAAGTTTAATGCAATAGGCTGGAGAGTTGGCTGCTCTTCCCGAGGACTGGGGTTCCATGTCTGGCACCCCCATGGTAGCTCACAACTGTCTGTAATTCCAGTTCCAGAGGAATTGATGCCATCTTCTGGCATCCTCAGGCACCTGGCATGCATGTGGTGCACATATAGACATGCAGGTCAAACACACACACCTATATAGTTAAAAAAAAAGTGATAAATTATAGTGAAAATCACCAAATACTTCAGAAAACAAGTCACAGTAAGTGGGACATAATAAAGAGCAGCATTAGAGCCATAAGAATTGGTACAATGGGATTATCAGATTCAGAATACAAATAAGCACGTGCTGTACAAATAGGGAAACAGTGGGGGCAGTGGTGGTGCAGCCTTTAATCCCAGCACTTGGGTAGCAGAGGCAGGCGGATCTCTTAAGTTTGAGGCCAGCCTGGTCTACAAAGTGAGTTCCACAACAGCTAGGACTGTTACACAGAGAAACCCTGTCTTGAAAAACAAAAGAACAGTAGAGGCTTGGAATAGTGGTGCATGCCTTTAATCATAACACTTGGTAGACAGAGGCAGAAAAGCAGATGGATCAATGTGAGTTTGAGGCCAGCCCAGTCTACAAAGGGAGTTTCAGGACAGCCAGGGCTACGTAGAGACCCCATCTCAAAAAAAAAAAAACCAAAAAAAACCCCAAAAAAACAAAAACAAAAGACATGATAGTGTAATAAGGAACACAGCTGGGCTGAGAATATATGCCTTGCATGTGTTGTTCACCTTGGTTCACTTCACAGCATGGGATGGGGTCAGGATGACACACAGCATGGGCGGGGGTCACACTCAAAGCCTTATCAACGTGAAATGCAAACAGAAGGGTAACTTGCCACCAAAAGGAGGTGCAATGATTCGCAGTGAAATGTTAGAAAGAACTGCATTTTCTTTCCTTCCACAGTAATGTCACATGAAAGAATATAGACAAATACCACACCATGTATATAGCACACTCCTTCCCATAAAACTCGGACCTTATCTAATCTACATGGGAGTAGAAAAAGACAAGATCTCCTGAGTACATTGGGAGCATGGAGATCATGGGAGAGGGCAGAAGGGGAGGGCTGTAGGGTTAAGCCTAGCCTTAGGGGGCGTTAAATGTGAGTGTTCCTACCTCTATTTTTGTATAAGAGTATGCTTATAACTTTGTTTATATTGTATTGATACATCTACCATATTACAATGTACATTTCTACCTCTGATACCATTTATATAATAACATTGTTTACATTTGATATGTAATGACATTGTTTACAGTTAAAGATCACTGTCTTCATATATTGCACAGTTGTTTATTCTTTTAGTCTTCAAGTTAGATAGTTTTTGAGAATTATATGTTTGTCATATTTATTTTTAGGTTAATCAGGTCTTTTAGATACAGAGATTATATTTAGTATAGATAGTATAATCTTCAGCCTCTTCAAAGAGCTGTAGAAAATGGCCTTTAATCTAACCTAGAATTCTGTGCCAAGGAGACACAATTACTCCTGGCAACGCCACTCTACTCCCGAGAGAACGTTGAGCACCAAAGACACTCCACTGGGAGCTTGTCTTCTTGGCAGAACTGGCCTTGGGGTTAAAAGAAGCCCATACCTCAATTACTGACAAAGATATGAAACAGGATTGTCTTATCTTGCCAAGACAGGGTAGGATAATTCTAAAAAAGTTCCTTACATTTATTAATGGTATGTCAGTTATGTTAGGCCTTAGCCAAAGTTGGTTGACTCAACATTGCAAATGAGACTTTGGGTGATTGCCAAGGTAGTCAGTTGTCTCTGTCAATTGTTGCACATTTTGGATATCTCTCGTTTGTTAAGTATTATTTACTCCCTTCTCAGATCTTTGACGGAATTGAAGATTATATAATTGTAGTTACTCTCTACATTATTTAGACTCCTTAAGTTAAAATATCTAGCAAAACTTTTGTTCTCAATATTGTTCGTTATATTGTTATTATTGTATATAGTTGTATTTGGTTTAGTTCTGTCTTATTTAGACAAAAGGGGGAGATGTAGGGTTAAGCCCAGCCTTAGGGGGTGTGTCCGCCTTGGGCTAATGTTTACCTATAAATCTGCCAGGGCGTGCGCCCAGCCGCCCTGGTTCTGTAAGTCTATTTCCCTTTAAAGCTGTATATATTTTTACAATCTGTCTGCATTCATTTACGCCGTTACAGAGGGCGGAGGAAGGAAGGGGAGCAGAGAAAAATATATAGCTCAATAAAAGGAAAAAAAGAACAAATTAGATCACGGCTTTTATATCTGTTTACACAACTACAAAAAGCCAGTTATCTGTGAAGTATGCATGCATACATATGAATGTCAAATAAAAAGATACTTTAATTATTTGAAAAAATAAAAAATAAAACTCAGACTTTGCCTCATTTGATCTTTAACAACACTGCACTGACGAGAGGAACATCTTTACTTTAGAGATAAAGAAAAGGAAGCTGAGAAATCAAAATGTGTTGGAGTGGGAGGCATTCTAACCCCAGCACTTGAGAGCCCAGGAGGTCAAGGTCCAGCCTAGGTTTCGTGAGATCCTGACTCAAAACAAAACAAAACAAAAAACCCTCTTCAATCTGATAAACCCATCTGCACCGTTCACATACCCTCTTTTCAGAAACCTGCCTGCCTATTAGAATCTGCAGTTATATCTCAATTTCAAGATGGGTACAGTTAGGGACGCACCTCCCAGACTAGAGACTGAAGTCGAGGATCAAGAGATGAGGCCAACTTGGGCTATATCAGATTCTACCTCAACAGAACAAAGAAAACCCCAAACCTCCAATTTTCAAAAGCCACTCTACTTCGGCTATTCAAGGGGTATCTCATACACCTCAGCATGTTCCAAACTACGGGCTCCTTGGCACATCTATTTACAGGTTTGTTAGGGTGGAATGAGGTCTAAGTACCATGACAAATACTGTATATTTATGGTAGCTGATGAAATAAAAGCAGGTTCTTCAAGAAGCCAGCAGAGGGCAGCAAGCCCCTTCACCACACTTCAAGGGCGCTCAGCATTTGTTCTGACTTTGTACTGCTGAGGACTGAATGCAGGTCCATGGCGTGCTAGGCAGGTATTCTACCAACTGGGTTTGTAGCCAGATAAAAACTGTTTTCAAAGATACTAACGGCCTGCATTCTCCTTCTATCGTCACAACTCCTGGATCACTCGCTAGTGTGGAAATGACCGTCACATACCCTGCACTGGACACCCCTAAGCGGGCTCTCTGCTGAACCTGCAGGCCTCTCAGGTGAACTCTCACTGAGCTGCCCTTTCTCACCTTCAGTTCTCCTTCCTATGAAATGACCTTAAGCCCTGTCCCAGCTTTGACTCTATGGCAGTGGTTAAACCTAAGTGGGTAATTCCACCTAAAGGAAACATTAAAGGCCAACTGTGGTAGTTCATACCTATGTTCTCAACACTCAAGCCTGAAGCAGGAAGGCCCCAAATTTGACCCAACCTAACCTGAACATTGTAAGTTCCAGGCCAGTATGGACCACACATAGCAAGCCGCGTCTTCTGGATATGTGTGGGTGTGTGCATATGCATTTGGCGCAAGGCACGGGAATGCGCAGGAATGCACCTTAGCCTTGAGACAGGGTCTCTCACTGAATTGGAAGTTCTGTTTTGGCTGCCAGTGAGCACTTCGGGTCTGCCTGTCTCTATACCTCCATGCGTAGCTGTTTATATGGGTGCCAGGAATTCGAATTCAGGTTCTCAAGAAAAAAAATGCTCTTACCCACTGGGATATCTTCCCAGTCGTACAAGATTCTGACTTAAAAAAAAAAAAGGCTGGAGTGTTAGCGCAACAGTTAAAAACAAGAGCATCTGTTGCTCTTGCAGAAGGTTCAGGTTTGATTTCCAACCCCCACATGGTGTCTCAAAATCATCCATAACTCCAGTTCCAGGATATCTGTCTAATATCCTCTTCTGACCTCCACCAAGCATGTACGTGGTGCACATTCATCCACGCAGGCACATACATAAACACACACACAAATGAATAAATCTGATAGAACACAGATAGTTTAGGAGTTAGGAGTGCTTTCTGCTCTTCCAGAGAATCTGGGTTTGGTTCCCAACACCCATGTGAGGTGGCTCAGGACTGCCTCTAACTCCAGCTCCAGATACACCACCCTTTCTGGCCTCCTCTGACCTCTGCACGCACATGTACTTACCCACACACTCAGAGCCACAGAGACTTCCTGGTGCTTTTCCATCTCCTCTCATAGCTCTAGAAGGCTTTACTCCAACATTTCCCAGTTGTGAGAGATCCTGCACCATTCTGACTCCGCTCCACTCCCACCCAAGAATATCTAAAAATATCTGGGAGCCATTTTGGTTGTAATAAGTGAGTGTGTCACTGGTCTCTAGTGCGGACAGGACATTGATGCTGCCAAACATCACAAGAGACTATTCAGTCCAGGAGTGCCAAGGTTGAGAAATTCTACCACCCTCTCCTCTGCCTCCAGGATTAGAGATTTGGAAACCTTAACTTATTTGCTCAGTTATGCAGCTGGTAAGGGAATAGAGATCTAAAATCATCTCACAGGACACCAAACCAAGGGCACATGGCACTCATAAATACTGGAGACTGTTTCTGAAGATTACTATTTCTTGCTATCCCCCTCATCCATTTGTTTTTAGTACTTTAAATCTTCCTAGTCAGCATTAGCTGACCTCATCCAGCAATGCTTTTAGACTCTCAGAAGTTTTCTTGGGACTGGGCGCATGGCACACACTTTTTTTTGGGGGGGGGGTGTTTTAAGACTCCTTTTAATTCCAGTACTTGGGAGGTAGAGACAGGTGATCTCTGAGCCAACCTGGTCTACATAGTGAGTCCCGGGACACCAAGGGCTATGTACCTTGTCTCAAAAACAAACAAAACAAACAAACAACAAAACAGGAAAAGCTTTCTTGGACCAGTGAGATGGTAAAGGTGTTTGCCAGTAAGTCTGGAGACCCGAGTTTGATCCCTGGAACATGAGAAGGTGGGAGGAGAGAAGTGCTTCCACAAATTGCTCTCTGATCCCTAGACACGAGCCATGGCATGTACATATCACTCACACAACTGCGCACATACGCACAAAATAAAAAGGAAAAGAAATGCCTTCTCGTCTACTCTTCTGTATCTTGTATCTTCAGCTTCCCAGAACCAGAGCAAAGGATGTTTGTCTGACCACCCCCCTCACATTGTACATTTATAAAGATTAGACTTCAAAAACATTTTTTTTCCAATTTTGAGAGTACCTTATATATATGCCAGGCTGACCTTGAACTTCTGACCCTCCTGTCTTTGCCTCCTGAGTACTGGTACTGTAGGTGTGAGCCATCGTATCTGGTTTACTTGGTGCTTTGCATTGAATTTAGGCTTTATGCCTGCAAGGCAAGTACTTTATCAACTGACCCACATCCCTAGCCCCTACTTTTTGTTGTTGTTGTTCTTCTTCTTGTTGTTTTTTGAAACAGCATTTCTTCACATAGTCAACCTCGGCTGTCCTGGAACTTTCTCTATAAACCAGGCTGACCTTTAACACCCAGAGTACTGGGATTATAAGAGTGCAACACCACTACCCAGCTCTTTTGTCTACTTTTGACAGTTCTGTCACTCACTCTGTAGACCAGTCTAAGCTTCAAACCACTTGCCTCTGCCTCCTGGGTGCTGGGATTAAAGGCATTAACTATCAACCCAGACTACTTTTGTATTTAATGCCAAGCAAAGCAGTTCAGTAGAGCACATATTTCATGAATAAATCTTAAAAACAAAACAAAAAAAAAAAACGGATTCAATTATATAATGCACCCAAGGAACAGACTAGGTCAACTCTGTCCAATACAAAGTAAAGCCTAGTAACTGCTATGTCTCAATTACACCAAAAAGTAAATGTTCATCTTATTTTGCCTGCAGAAATTCCTTGATCATAAACATAAAAGGAACATGGGCCAATGAGATGGCTCATCAGATAAAGGTGACGCTCAACAGACCCTCAGATCTTAGTACAACTGACTCCATGATGGAAGTACCATTCAGGCCATAAAACTCAGCATGTAGGCAGCATCACCAGTCAAAATTAAAACAAAGACCTAATCCACCAAACTCCATAGTTCTGGGAAAGTCTCTGAATGTACTAACTCTCCTTTTCAGCTTCTGTAGTCTTGCTTCTTTCTGACTGACTGTGTTTGTTAGCTAAAGCATGTCAACTCGAGGCATGGGTTTGTGCTTAAAAGTTTATCCTAAAGGGCCTAGAGAGATGGCTCAAAGGTTAAGAGCATTGGCTGCTCTTCTGGAGGTCCTGAGTTCAATTCTCAGCAACCACAACCACCTATAATGAGATCTGGTGCCCCCTTCTGGCCTGCAGGTGTACATGCACATAGAACACCGCATGCATAATAAATAAATCTTAAAAAAAAAAAAAAGTTCACCCTAAAAAAGACTTGGGACTACAATGGGGCTATACTGATTACACCCAGTTTAGTTGTTGGCCAGTTAACAAAGACATTTATTGATTTAAACCTGTGTCCAAGTAGTTTTCTCTGTAGATACCCCATAACTGTCACCAATCCTGACTAGCTGATTTCAATTCCCAGGGCCTACAGTAGCAGGAGACAACTCCTACAACTTGTCCTTCTGACTTCCATGTTTGCATAGTGTGCACACATAGTATACACAGCGTGCACAGGTACACACACACACACACACACACACACACACACACACAAGTAAAGCTATTACATGTTTAAATTTTGGTTTTTAGAGAAAGGGTTTCTCTGTAGCTTTGGAGCCTGTCCTGGAACTCTCTCTGTAGACCAGGCTGGCTTCGAACTCACACATGATTTAAAAAAATAAGAACTTTCACTATTATGTACATCGTGTGCAAGCTTGCAAGGTAGTTTAGCATGTGCTAAAGGTAATCATTCCCCAAAGAGAAGAACTTGAAGGATCCATAGCATCTCTATTTGTGGCCCTGTGACCTTCACTTGTAGACAGAAACTGTGTTTAACGAGCTGTCAAAGAAGCTGGAAGAACTGAGTCAGAGTCTGAGGACAAAAGAACTCACTTTCACTTTAGCTCTTATTTCTTCACTGTCCCCTTCGCCTTCATTGCGGGGCTCCGTGCCAGGCTCCTCCTGCTTGTCTTTGTTTTGTACAGAGTATTCTTCTAGTAGAGTGTCAAACAAAACTATTCTCTTGTTCTTGAAGAAGCCATAAAAGTAAGCATTGCTGTGGGAAGAGCGCTTAGACCCTAAGGAAAGACAGTCCAAAGCACGGAACAGAGTTAAACCATCTGGGTCCTTCAGAACTAATGGGAAGGGCGTTAACATTTCCAAGCTGTTTAATACCTGGAGAAACCACATTAACAGAACTCATTAGCAGCAGTGGGGTGGCTGTCGCCCTGCCCCACTTACACTACTGGCTTGCAGCCATAGTACACGCAGCCTAAACACCTAATTAAAATGATTAACTTGTGGTAAAGCTATGAAATCAAATTCTAGACAGCCAGAAAAAAAATTATATACCTGCGTGGAATTTAGCAAGAGAAAAGCTCACCCAAGTATCGTGAAGAATACAAAATGCCACACATACGTAAGGTTACCATATTATCAAAAACTGTGCATGTAGACAGGAAGGCATAAACCCAAGGCTACGAGAAAAAAACACCACAGTAAGGAAGTGCAGTTCATGGGGACCTAGAAGTATGGGCGTCATTTGTCTCTGTTCCAGGGCTTTTTAGAAAGCAGACATCTATTAGCAGAAAAGCCTCTGGGAGACTGGAAGGAAACACACCTAAACTTTCAACAGAGGATGAGAGTACCCGAACTGTGGTTGACACTTCTTCCTTCTTTATGAACTTCTGCAATTTCCAAATGTTCTTCATTGTGTAGTAATTTGAATAAAGTGGATTGAGCTCAAATCCTGGTTTTGGTGTGTACAAGTTGTGAAAATCTAGGAACTGTCTTAAAGCTCTAGTTTCCTGTCTATGAAGCAAGGCTAAAATGTGCCTCATAAGATATTATAACAACATACCTTGACCAACATTAAATACTATTATTTATATATGTATTTAAATGAAAAAAATGACAAATTATTTCTCTTGAAAACTAAGTTTCTTAAAGAAAATGTGAATTTTACATCTATTCAATTCTATTTTTAAATTATTTATTTTCATTTTGTGTACATTGATGTTTTGTCTGCATGTGTGTCTGAGTGAGGGTATCAATCCCCTGCAACTAAAGTTAGACAGTTGTGAGCTGCTATCTGGGTGCTGGGAATTGAGCTGGGGACCTCTGGAAGAGCAGTCAGTGTTCTTAACTGCTGAGTCACCTCTCCATTCCATCATTTTCATTTTTTAAAAAGATTTATTTTTATTTAGACATGTGTGTATTTGTTTAGGGATGCCACCTGTGTGCACAGGCTGGCAGAGGCCAAGAGAAGTCATGGTGGAGGGGACTGGGGAGATGACTTATTTCAAAGCACTTTCTGTTCTTGCAGAGGACCTAAATTCAGTTCCTAGCACCATAGCAGGTGGCACACAACCACATGTAACTCCAGCTCAAGGAATTCTGGTACTAGTTCTGATCTCCCATAACCAGACACACACATAAATACATAATTAAAAAAATTTACTGGGGGCTTATGTATCCCAGACTGTTTACCAGTGCTATGATGCTGAACTTTTGATCCTTGGGCTTCTACCTTCCAAGTGCTGGGTTTAAGGGTGTGGGCACAACATAAGGTTTATGTGGTGCTGGGCATAAAATCCTGGGCATTGTGCATGCTAGGCAAGCATTCTACCAACTGAATCACTCTCCTGGCCATGCATTTACTCATATTCCAAATATAATACACTTGGCAGTATGTTTAGAATATAGTAAAGCCTTGATAAGTAGTGGTTATTATTATTTATTGCATTGTAATATCATTTTTTGGGTAGTTACCTGGAAGTTAAGAGACAAACATATGGCCCTATTTTGTCAGTACTGTGACAAATGTTATTATCATTCTCATACTATTCTTTTTAAGTGTACAGTATGGGTGCCTGCAAGGCCAGAAGAAGGCATTGGATCCCTTGGAGTTGGAGTTACAGTTGTGGGCCACCCATCGTAGGTTGTGAGAATCAAACTCAGCCCCCCTTCAAGAACAACAGACATCTTTAACTGCTAGCCTTCTCTGCAGCCCCTCGTATTTCTTTTCTTTTTTTAATGAGGAAGGAGTCTAGGGCTTCATGCTTGCTAGTCAAGCATCTACCGAGTCATATCCCCAGCCCTCATCTCGTAATGTAATTAGTTCGAAACTTTAGATGCCATCTAAAGCTATTGATGTGGTGGTCAGGTCATATACAGACAAACAAAACTGAGGTCTCAATAGTTCCCATTGGTCCAGGCTTCTTCAATTATGATCCAAGGAAGAGCCACATCAAACTCACAGACTCTGGGAACACCTACCAAGTCAGAGTCTCTAGGGTGGAGGTCAGGAAGCTGTCTTTAACAAGCTTCCCAAGGAATCCGTATATAATTACAGTTTAGTACTATTCTGTAAACTTTTTGTGCTTGGCAAGTAGTTTATATTTAATAATGCTTGTTTACTGACTGGATTAAATAATACTAGTAAAATAGCGAAGCAATGCATGAGAATAAAAATTCCGTGCGATGAAAGGTACTGCACCAGTGTCTTCACAGTTTGCTGTCCACTGGATTCTGGGCAGCACCGGACACATAGCTGAACACAGCCTCACTGCTTTCCATTCCTCTCTGCCAATTTTGAACCTGGTGTTGCCTGCATCTTTGGCACACCAGACATATGCCAGGGACTTCCAAACCTATGTTCTGAGAACCAGCTTCTCCCTGAAATCCCAGGATTGTATAAGCAGCCACCTGTGTGACATGTCTACACCTAAGTTTACAGATTTTTTTTAATTGCTAAATTTAATTTTTATTCCCTCTATAGAAAACACTAAATTCTAAGCCAAAAATATATGCTGACGTTTCCAACCTAAAGAGTTTATAATAACACAATTATTTAAAATAAATGCATTTTTTATTAAGGAAATTCATAGGGCTGAAGAGATAGCTCAGAGGTTAGGAGCATGTAGGGCTTTTTTTGTTTGTTTGTTTGTTCGTTTGTTTTTTGCTTTTTTCAAGACAGGGTTTCTCTGTAGCTTTGAAGCCTGTCCTGGAACTAGATCTTGTTGACCAGGCTGGCCTCGAACTCACAAAGATCTGCCTGCCTCTGCCTCCCAAGGGCTGAGATTAAAGGTGTGCGCCACCACAGCCTGGAGCAAGTGTTCTTGCAGAGGGCCAAGGGCCAACTCCCAGCACCCACAGGGTGACTCACAGCCACCTCTAACTTGAGCTCCAATGAATACAGGGATCCGATGCCCTCTTCTAATTTCCATGGGCACCAGACATACATGTGGTAAAGAAACATTCATTCAAACAAAACATTCATACACATAAAATAAAAATAAATAAATCTAAAAAAAACAAAACCCATAAATTTTTTCAAAGAAATTTACAAGTTGTGATTTCTTCTTTTGCCCAACAAGACCACCTTAGTTTCCCCTACACTTAAATGCAAGATTTCTCTTCAAGACAGTCCTTAAAAAACAACAAAATAAAAACAAAAACAAAAACAAAAAAACCAAACAAACAAACCCTGGTATTGTTTCGGCCTCCTTCGACTTCTTCTGCCTCAGTCTGAATCATGGACATATGGACAACACTTCAAAATTCCCATCTAAGATCTCTGGAATCTCACTTTAAGCAATTTCCTTTAGGATTACTTTTTAGGCTAGATGGCTCTGCCTGCTTCTCGATGCGGCCAAGCTCCTATGAACATGAACATGTCCAGCCCACACTCACTTATAAACTATTACCTGGGATGATCAGGGCTTTCACGTGTTCTGATAGCTGTCCTGCAGCCCCTTCCCATAGCCCTGGGAACTAGTCACGTGTGCAAAGCAAAACCAATCACCACTGGGTGTGGTGGTGAAAGCCTTTAATCCCAGCACTCAGGAGGGAGGAAGGCGGTTCTCTGTGAGGTCAAGGCCAGCCTGGTGTGCAAAGTGAGTTCCAGGACAGGGTCCAAAACTACAAAGAGACCCTGTCTCAAAAAACAAAACAGAAAAAGAAAAACAAAACAAAAAACAAAAAAACATCAACCGAATTACCGTATGAGGGTTTCTAGCTACAGAAGCCCTGGACAGAATTCAACTATGCTTGAATTCTTAAAGGAATTTTAAATTTTAATTCATTAATGTGTGTGTGTGGTGGTGGTGGTGGGGTTCGGAGACCAGCTGAGGATATCAGAACCTGGAGCTGCAGACACAGGTGTTTGTAGGACTTGCTAGAGGGGCACTTGGATCAAACTCTGCTTCTCATGATTTCAAAGCAAACACTGTGAAATGCTGACCAACTCTCCAGCTCCCTGCTAATTTACTTTTTGTGTGTATTTATACTTGTACCACGGCTCATGTGTGGAGTTCAGAAAGTTCATTCTCTCTACCAGGTGGGTTCTAGGGATCAGTTCAGTCCTCGGGCTTGGCAGCAAGTCCTTTACTCACTGGGCCATCTCTCTTTGTTGTTAAGATTTAAAAAAAAGGTGTGTGTGTAAGTGCCTGCAGAGGCCAAAACTGGGCAAAGGATCCCCTGGAGCTAGAGTTACAGGTGGTTGTGAGCCACCCAATAAGGGTGCTTGGATCCAAACTCAGGGCCTCCAGAAGAGCAAGTGCTCTTAGCTGCTGAGCCACCTCTTCAGTCCCTAGATGTTTATATTTTTATCTGTGCTTTTTTCCATTTGTTACTGGAATCTTCTTTCAGAGTTCAGGGAATTTCGCACAGTGAAGGTTTTCTGTGAGTCTGCTTCTCATTTGGGAAACCTAAAAGTCAGGTATTTGCTTCCTCAGCAATTCCTGCAGCTAGCCCTACGCACCAGCTTAGTGGGTGAGATGCAGCCCCGGGAATTCTGAATAGCCAAGAGAATCACACAGGGAAGCAAAGCTGTCAAGAATTCACTCACAGCTGCCAGTGACAGATGTTAGGGCTCTACTTTAGAACAAAACAAACAAACCAAAATCTTATTTAAATGTGTTTTTAGATTTATTTTTATTTTATATGTATGGGTGTGCACCCTATGTGTGCCTGATGCCTACGAGGCAAGAAGAGGGTGTTAGATCCCTTGGAACTGGAGTTATCGACAGCTGGGAGTCACCATGTGGGTGCAGGGAATTGAATTTGGATCCTCTGGTACAGCAACAAGCACTCTTAACTGCTAAGCCACCTCTCCAATCCCTTCTACTTTTTAAAAAATGTATGTTTGGGGCTGGAGAGATGGCTCAGTGGTTAAGAGCATTGACTGCTCTTCCAAAGGTCCTGAGTTCAATTCCCAGCAACCACATGGTGGCTTACAACCATCTTTAAAGAGGTCTGGTGCCCTCTTCTGGCCTGCAGACATGCACACAGACAGAATATTGTATACACAATAAATAAATAAATATTTAAAAAAATAAATAAAAATGTATGTTTGTGTGTATAGTCGCACATATGTGTGCACATGTACAGTAATTCTGAAATTGGCTTGGGCTACATGGGCTGTCTCAATCATCAACAAAAAACTAAACTCTTTACTCTGATTGGCAGAGGCCGCTGCTCATGCTAGTTACAACTGCCTTTGTTCCCCCTTCACTTTGCAGATGCTTCGCACTGATGATATTTTAGTTTATAATAAGCACAGAAAACCATGGCTTCAGACCAAATGCAGGTGTTGCTTGTTTGCATGTAGTCTTACTGGAACAAGCCAGGTTCACGTGCTCTGTCTGTGGCTATTCTGCCATGCAGAACCGAAGGAGACAATGTAACCACAAAACCACAAAGCTCTGAACAGCGAATAGACTGAGTTTTCAGGGAACTACAGTGCAGAGGAAGCACCTCTGAAAGCTAGAGAGAGGGAGTGGTTTGTTCAAGATCCCATGGACAGTAAGCTGCTGAGGCGGCATCAGCTATATTTACTTTAAACAGATTTTAATTTATAGATTCTGACACATGCACTAGCTTTCCTCTAAACTTTGTAGGCCTCCTAGAAATGTAAGCAGTCATTTTCCCTCCCCTTTGGTTTCTCTGTGTAGCCCTAGCTGTCCTGGAGCTCATCTGAAGACCAGGCTGGCCTGGAACTCAGAGCATTAAAGCCATGCGTGGCCACCACCACCCAGTGAAATGTAAGCAGGCTTGTGAAAGCTCACAGGTGGTTTAACTCCGAGACCATCAGAAAAGCTGTTAACTGAAGCAAGGGGCCTGACGGTACCCAGGCAGAGTCCTCTGGCTCACTGATGCTCTGCTAGGGGAAACAAAATCAAGAACACTGGTTTTGTTTTAGAGCCCCTAAACTAGAGCTACATGGTTGATCATCCAAGAGTCCAACTCAGTTACCCAAAGGAGCCGGGCAAACACTGGGGTGAAAGACTAGTCTACTACACAGCACAGTACGAGGCAGGAAAAAGGCTTTGGCCAAAGATTAAGAACAGTCCTGTACAGCTGACCAAACAGAGCTGGTGCAGGAACAGGATTTGGCATCAGGCTACCAATGTCTATCCTGGAAAATGTCCTAAGTTCTTATAAACCTTTTTCTTTACTTTTATTTCATTTTTGAAAATTTATGTTACAGGCAGTTGTGAGCCACTGTATAAGTACTGGAAACCAAACTTGGCCCCTCTGGAAGAACATCCAGGGTTCTTAACTGCTGAGCGCTTCTCTTGTTCAGTTCCTATAAATCTTAAAAAGCCAAATGTAAAACCTTATCCTATTTTTTTAAGTAACAAATTGAAAACAAACAATAAAGGCTGATTTAAGAATAAAATGCTCAAAACAAACCACCCGATAAACCTTGTCACGTCAGGGCGCCTTACCTTCAACAACATACACCTTCGTCAGAGGGAAGTCAATACTTTTTGCCATCACTTCGATCTCTTGTTTTAACTGTCCCTCAGGAAGAGGTGTGAATTTGTCAAACAAAGGGGCAATGTAATCTGCATAAATTGTGACCAGAACCTGGAAAGTAAGTCAGAAAAACTGCCCATTATTAAAAACTTCAATTATTTGATACAATCATCGTTCATCCAACCAAAACCTGGGGCCATGTCTGTTTAGTAAATTAAATCAAAGGAACAGTGTGATAGAACAACAAGCAAGTCAAGTTAACTTGACTAAGAGCGCTGGGGCCAATCAACAGGCCTTTCTTGGGGAGTCCTGGCACTATAAGGCAGCTATAATACACACTCTCATTTACTTTGCTTAAAATGGCACATGACATTTCTGGATTTCCTCAGCAATATAAGAGTCAGTAAAAAGAGAAGAAAATCTATGCTCAATCAGTTCTCCTATCTCTATACCCCAGAGCAGGAACTGAGAGGAATATGTACATGGGCAGTTGGTTACACTGTAACCTTTACTTAGGAACTACTTACATGTCAACAAAAACTAAATCTAGTTTTAGTAATCTCAAGGAATTTTTGCAGATGAAAATGAAATAATTAAAGAATAAGAGTCCATGAGTTTGAGAGGGAGTCCGAGGAACATAGAATTGAACGAGGGGGGAGCAATGTAAATACAGTAGACTGTGGCAGTTTGAATGTAACTGGCCCCCATAAGCTCTTAGAGAGTGGCAATATTAGGAGGTGTGGCTTTGTTGGAGTAGGTATTGGCCTTGCTCAAAGAAGTGTGCCACTGTGGGGGTGGGCTTTGAAGTCTCATATATGCTCAAGCCAAGCCCAGTGTCTCAGACCACTTCCTGTTGCCTGCATATCAAGATGTAAAACTCTCAGATGTAAAACCATGTCCGACTGCACATCATGATGATAATGAACTAAACCTTTGAACTACTGTAACCTACCTAATTAAATGTTTTCCTTTATAAGAGCTGCCATGGTCATGTCTCTTCACAGCAATAGAAACCCTGAGACAACTCATATAGGAAATTCTCAAATAAATGAATAAAGAGTTTACTTACCAGAGAAACAATTAATGTGAACAGCCAGGCATAAATAAAAAAGTAATCACCTCCAATTTTAATAATGTAAAGCAGAAGGGACGACACAGGCAATAAAATACACTGAGTCACAGTAAATTTTTTGATTGTGTCTTTCAGAAAAAACTCCAAAGTCTGAAAAAAAGATAATATTGCCACTATTAACTGAGGAATCAGTTTGCTTTTTAAATACTTCTAAGAGGACACAAAGCACCTCAGTAAAGCAATATCAAGGTCAGCATGTATTAGAGGACACTGGGACGGCTAGGAGAATAAGCAAAACTCTTGCATTTTATAGTTTAAAATAATGTAATTAATATTAGCTGAAAAGCACTAAACGTTTGTGTTCAGTTTCTACCAAGACCTTTTCTTTTTTTCTAAATTTCGTTATTTTATTACATATGTAATACACACACACGACCAGCAGAAGGCAACAGATCTCATTACAGATGGTTGTGAGCCACTATGTGATTGCTGGGAATTGAACTCAGGACCTCTGGAAAAGCAGCCAGTGCTCTTAACCTCTGAGGCATCTCTCTAACCCTCTATCAAGACCTTAAACTAAGGTCTTTACCATAACTATGGTTTCTTTTTCCTCAGTTGATTCATGCTCTAAATAGCAAACTATACCTAATTTTTTTTTTTTTTTTTTGCATGTTAGACCACACTTTAATACCGAGTTGCATCCCAAACCCTAGCTTTTTCCATTTTACTTTGAGACAAGGTCTTGCTAAGTTTCCTGGGCAAGCCTCAGATTTGTAATCTTCCTCATCAGCCTCTGGAGCAGGTGGGATTACAGGTTTGGCTCACTACACCAGGTGTGTCAAGCAGCTTGGGAAGACTGGACCGACCACTTTGCATCGGATCATGAGTATCCATTCCCTTGCTCCCTGTCTTGGCGGCGTAGCATCATGTGGGGTTGGGAATGTTGCGCATTGCAGCAGTGCTGGTGAGACTTCGGAAGTTCTAATGTTCAGCCCATGAGTGTCAGGTCCTCTGGGAGGCTGCAGGAAAGATTCAGCACGTCTGACCTGGTGGCTTGCTTCATTGCATCTGCCTCAGAGAGGAGAGCTCTGGCATTGGTGTTCTCTGAGCTCCAAACTATACCTAAATTACTGCCACCATAGGACCAATGCATAAAAAAAAATCTTCATATTAAAAACCCTGATAATTTCTATTATACCTGGTGATTGAAGCCATGTTTTTCTTCTATCACAAAAGTATTATAGAGACTCCATGGCAAGCCAGTCAGTGCACTGTAGAGTGTGGCCAACAGAAGGAACACTAAAGACTGAATGATCTGAGGACAAGAAAAAAAAATTTAAAAATCAGCAAGTATGCATGTGTGCTTACTGTATCCCAAGCAATGCACTTGATCCCGTGGGGAACAGGCCTGCAATGGCATCCTGCCCTTGGGAAATGTTTACCTGGAAGAAGAGGCATGACTTGAAAGCCACCTTAAGTCACAGGAACACAATGGTTGGTAGTATTCAGAAAAGAGAGTTGCTAGTTGGATTCAAGGAACATTTATTCTTGGTTTTGTTGTGTGTTTGTTTTGAAGCAGGGTCTCACCATATAGGTCTGGCTGGCCCAGGACTCCCTGACTATGAAGACCAGGATAGCTTCAAACTCACAAAGATCCAACTGCCTCTGCCTCCCCAGGGTTGGGAATAAAGGTATGAGCCACCACACTTAGCTGAATTTAAGAAAGAGAGAAACAACCTTAAAAGGAGAAGAAATTTCAAGCAATTTGCAAAAGCCCAGAGAGAGAAGTGCCAGTGTGAAATGAGTGTGATGGCCAGCACTCGGTGGACTCAGAACAAAACAGAAAGCAGGCCCGGCACTCACTGGGAGACAGAAAGGTAGGCAGATTTGAGTTTGAGTCAGTTTAGGTGACACCAGCTTCAGGGAAGGAAGGAGGAGGGAGGGAGGGAGGGAGGGAGGGAGGGAGGGAGGGAAGAAATGGCAGTTTGAATGTAATTGGCCCCTATAAGCTCCTAGGGAGTGGCACTATTAGGAGGTGTGGCTTTGTTCTATGCACGGTCTTGTTGAAGGAAGTGCGTCACTATTGGGAGGGCTTTGAAGTCTCATATATGCTCAAGTGATGCCCAGTGTCTCAGTTCTTTCCTGTTACATGCAGATTAAGATGTAGGACTCTCAACTCCTTTTTCCAGCATCATGTATACCTGCATGCCACCATGCCCCACCATGATGATAATCAACTAAATCTCTCAACTACTGTTAAGCCACCCAATTAAATGTTTTCCATTATAAGAGCTGCAGTGATTATGGTGTCTCTTGAGAGGAATAGAAACCCTAACAATGAAGGAAGGGAGGGAGGGAGGGAGGGAGGGAGGGAGGGACTAGACCAGGCAGTGTGTTCAAGTTTTTGTAAAATGCTAAATTCCAATAGAGAAAATTAGTCCCAATAATTACTTTAATCACCTTCAAAAAACTGTTCGATCAAAAGCCAAGAATTACCCAATTTCCCTTTTAATTTTTTATAAATTTTCCCACTTCTTTTTTCTAACTTTCATGATGTTTCTTGCTTTACTTCCAAAAGGCAAGTATGAGCTAGAACCTGGGAGAGGAGCAGAGTCAAGGGAAACATTTCCGATGAGAAAGGCAGTGGGGTACAGAAGTCACCCCTGGAGAAACCTGCAGAGTATATAGACAGTGGCAGCTTTCTTCTGTTTCCACACCAACCCAGAAGGAAGACATTCCAGGAACCTGGGCAATGAGGAAAAACTGTTTCTAGAAGGCAGTGCTCCAGGGCTCCAGGACATAGAGCATTATAAATGCTGCACATGACGGGAACCGGCTCGGCCCAACCCATTTATGCACAACATGGAGCAGAACTCTGGAGTACTCTGAGTCAAGGAGGCTCATCACTTGCTGAGAAAGACCAGGCCTTATCTCACTGCACAAAAACAGGACACTAGGTGTGAGACTCTTTGCTGGAAGTTTGGGACACCGGGAAGTTCTGAAAGAAACATGCTGCCTACACCTAGAGCAAACTGTGATTCTCCAACTCCTCCTTCTTCTGTCTCTCTCTTTTTTGAGATAGAGATCTTGTTATGTACCTGTTTGGTCAAAAGTGAGACCCTAGCCCTCTAACACCCCTATATCCAAAGAGTCTGGAATATAATATTGAGTTGAAAGTGTCACCCCAGTCCCTGGCCTGGGAATTGCCAAGCACTTGGACTCTAATTCCCAGCCTGCCAAGCAATTGAACTCCAACTCCCAGAGCTGACCCTTCCCTGGGGGAGGGCCAGGACCACTCCCACAGGGTATTTAGGTTTGTGCTGGAAAAAGAAACAGGTTGTTTCGGGTTTTGCATGTGCTCTCCCTGTCGTCCCCCATGCCCCGCCCACCCCCATACTTCTGGCGCAGCATTCATTAAATGTGGGCATTTTTGATTTGGTCTAATCTGGTTTGATTGGAGTTCTTTGTGCGGAGAGGATTGGTTAGGAAATATTCCTAACAGTACCCAAATTCACAATCCTCCTGCCTCAGCCTAATCAGTGCTGGGATTACAGGTATAAATGCACACGTTGTAAACTATTATACCTGGCTTCATTTTTAAATATAGAAAATATTTTTTTTTTTTTTTTGGTTTTTCGAGACAGGGTTTCTCTGTGGTTTTGGAGCCTGTCCTGGAACTAGCTCTTGTAGACCAAGCTGGTCTCGAACTCACAGAGATCCGCCTGCCTCTGCCTCCCGAGTGCTGGGATTAAAGGCGTGCGCCACCACGGCCCGGCTATAGAAAATATTTTTAAGCCAGGCAGTAGTGGCACACGTCTTTAATTCCAGCACTAGGGAATCAGAGGCAGGCAGATCTATAAGAGGTTAGTTCCAAGACAGGCTCCAAAGCTACAGTGAAATCCTGTCTGAAAAAACAAACAAACAAAAGAATATTTTTAATTACACAAGAAGTTCTGTGCATTACTGAATTTTCCTATTGCCAGCTTCTCAGGACATAAAAACCACCTTTGGCATTTCAGAATGCATTATTTTAATTTTTATTAATGCAGAATATATGCAAAGGATAATATGTACAAAGCTAACACCTGGGCCAGGAATGGTGGTGCACTCCTTTAATGCCAGCATTCAGGAGGCAGAGGCAGGAGGATCTGTGTGTTTGAAGACAGACTGGTTGACAGTTTCAGGCCAGCCAGGGCTACATAGAATGAGGCATCACATTCTGAATAACTGAATAACAGATGTGCAGCAACCAGCCACTTAGATTGTTGAAAATATTGATCTGACTGGTCCTGATTACCACTTATCCTGTGGTCTGTATGCTGAACAGCTAAGAAGGAGCTCTGCAGTTTATGTGACTATTCACATAATACACCATGGTAACTGAAATTTGAGCCACAGTGTTGAAGAGGCAGTGTTCCAACCAAACCGTGGTAACTTAAACATTTGTACATATCAGAACTACACAAAGTGAGGACTCTGGCATCATGCAGCCACAAAAGAACAAGGCCTCGCTATTTAAACAATATGAAAAGAATACAAAGTCATTCTTAAATACAAAACTCATCCCATTAAGATAAAGACTTGTGCCTAGCTGCGGAGGTAATGGCCGTTAATGTCTGCTGAGGGAGAAGAGAGTCACTTTTCTTTGTCAGGGCTGAAGGGGAGAGAAGCCATTAGTTGCACATGCCCAGTGAATGTCTCCACATACATGTGCAGATGAGCTGCACTGCCTTGCATAGTGAGAGATGAGTATTTCTTATCATCTGGCACATATGGAAGCTGTGTTTACTCTACTCTGAGCCTGCAAGACAACACAGTGGGTAAGGAGGTCTGCCACCAAGCCTGACTGGCTCAATCCAGCCCTAGAGCCCTTATGATGGAAGGGAGAACTGACTCCTGCAAGCTGTCGTCTAACACACACACACACACACACACACACACACACACACACACACACGAATCCTGTTGCCTTAGAAAATGGTATATGGAAAAGGGCACAGGATGAGCAGAGCTGCTGTGGAACAATCTTTGTACACTGTAAATATGTACTGCTCTTATTGTTAATAAAAAGCATATTGGCCAATGGCTAGGAAGAATTTTTGGGTAGAGAGAATGCTGGGAAGAAGGGTAGAGTCAGAGGAGAGGCCAAGAGAGAGAGAACAAGCAAGATGTGTATGAGGAGATGTAGTGAGCCGGACAGGATCGCCATTACAAGATGGCGCCGACATCCTGTCTTGTTGGAAATAAACAACTCCATATTTGGCTATGCCTTTGAGAGCTGCGTGTCCCCCGCTTCCTGCATGCGCGGTGGATGAGGATCCTTGAGCCTATCCCGATGCGGTCTGGTGTCAGCTGTTGGTGGCAGCCAATCACAGGGCGACCCGTGTGCCAATTCCCTACTTAAGCAGCTGCCTCAGTGCCCTTCCCCGCTTCGCTTCATGCTGTCTCTCCCCTTAGCTCCCTGCCCTTCGCTTCCTGCCCTTCCCTTCCTGCCCCTTGTTTCCTGCCCCTCTCGTTTCATGCTCTCCCCATCAATCAAGGGTACTCCAGTAAAGCGTGATCTGAGTGGAATCCTGATGTGGTGGTTGTTCTTTCTCGCTGGTCGAGAAGTCCGTCACAAGGAGAGGTAACAGTCACAAGCCACGTGGCAGGACACAGATGAATAGATGGGCTAATTTAGTTGTAAGAGCTAGTTAGTAATAATCCTGAGCTACTGGCCGAGCATCTGTAATTAATAAGTCTCTGAGTGGTGATTTGGGAAGCAACTGCCGAGATACGGAGAAACTCTGCCTACACAGAGTTAAAGCCAAGAGTACCTACTCACACAGGAGGTCCATGATTTTCAATAGAGTCAGGAAGGAGGTAACCGACTCCAAAGCTTCCAGGAGAAACTCAGAAAGCAGGGCTGCAGCATCCATTACAGATGGAGAGTTCACTTAAGGAGGTAGATATTCTGTCTTAATCTGAAGCATCTGCTTACTATGTATGACACAGAAGAATCTGCTAAGTATGAGTCCCACTGAATTAATGGTACGCAACCCGTCACTGCACAGGGTTGTTCCTAAGAAGCAGCAGCCTAATCAAGACTACATTTCCCAATGCCCTTCCGTCCTGGGTAAGATCAAGTGACTACTCACCATGTAATGTGAATGTATGATAAAACTTAGCACTACGAAAGTTAAAAAGAGGGCATGTTCTCCCCATTGTCATTAGGCACTGGATGACAAACCCATAAGACGAAAACAAGCTGACTCGCTACCTAGCCACACGGAACAAAGCCACCTGCTAACTGAAAATACTCATATTGGCTGTTATATGACTGGGAAATAAGCTGAAAAGCCCTTAGAATTCTGGAGTTCTAGTAACTAGCTGTGGTAGCTGAGTGATATGTTCCCCCATAGGTACAGTACTTGAATGTTGGTCCCTAGTTGGTGAAACTGTTTGGTAAAGATTACAAGGTGTGGCCTTGCTGGAGGAGGTGTGTGTGTCACTGCCTCTGTCTGTGGATAAGATGTAAACTCTCAGCTACTGCCCCAGCACCGTGCCTGCCTGCTGCCATGTCCCTGGCATGGTAGTATGGACTCACCCTCTGAAATGGTGAGTTCCAAATAAAATGCTTTCTTTTACAAGCTGCTTTGGTTGTAGTTCTTTGTCATGGCAACAGAAAAGTACCCTAACTATTGGCATTATGCTAATACACACACAAAGACTGTTGGGACTGAGAGGCAAGTCTAATGATGGTAGGAGCCAAAAAGGCAACTTAGTGTAACGCTTACCAAGCAAAATAAAGACTGACCAATCTGGGCAAAGAAATCACATACCTCATATTCTGGGCCGAAGCCAGCAGATCCACAGACCCGCCCAGAAAGCCTCCAAAGGTAAGGGATTCCTCCAAAGAGAAGAATAAGCTGTAAAACAAAGCAGATTGGGTCACATTTAAACAGCTTTAGAAACTATCGTATGAAAGAGTGTGTTATAAGGAAAAATGAAAGGGAAAATAAGTCACAGAAAAAGTGGGGGGACTAACCCATTTAGAATAAAATACGAATTTAGAAGGATACCAACTACTGAGACACTAAGTTTAGACTACTGAGCTATTTTTGCCTATACACTGTATATGGGTAAACTGTATGGTATGTGAACTACAATTTTGGGGGGGGAGGGTTTCTCGAGAAGGATTCTCTGTGTAACAGCCCTAGCTGTCCTAAAACTGGCTCTTGCAGACCAGGCTGGCCTTGAACTTACAGAGATTCACCTGCCTTTCCTTCCTGAGTGCTGGGATTAAATGTATGCACCACTGCTGCCCAGCATGAATTACATTTCGAAAAGCCTGTTTAAAAGGCAAGTCCAGGAATCTCACTCACTTTTGGAGATTTAAAAAGTATAATAATCTAGGGCCAAAGAGGTGGCTGAGCAGGTAAAGATGCTTGCCACATAGTCTGATGACCTTCTCTGGAATCAGTATAAAAGATGAAAGAGAACCACTTCCAAAAGTGGTTCTCACCTCCATATGCACACCGTGGTGCATACGTATGACCTCCAATCATGTACACACATGCACACACCACCAACAACAAATAGTTTTTTAAAGATTTTAAAAATCAGCCTTCAGGCTGATGAGATGGCTCTGAGGTTAAGAACACTGATTGTTCTTCCAGAGGTCCTGAGTTCAATTCCTGGCAACCACATGATGGCTCACAACCACCTGTAAAGAAATCTGGTGTCCTCTTCTGGCCTGCAGGCACTCATGCAGACAGAACACTGCAAACAAAATAAATAAATAAATCTTAAAAAAAATAATTAAAAAAAAATCAGCCTTCTAGGGGAAAATAAAATAGTAGTCACTAGAGCCTGGAAGGGGATGGGAGGAATGGATTTAGAAACACGCTAGAGGGCTGGAGAGATGGCTCAGAGGTTAAGAGCACTGGCTGCTCTTCCAGAGGACGTGAATTCAATTTCCAGCACCCACATAGTAGCTCGCAAACATCTAGAATGAGATCTGATGCCCTCTTCTGGTGTGTGTATACATAATAAATAAATCTTAAAAAAAAAAAAAAGAAACACGCTAGATAATGGATATCAAAACAGTCAGTAGAAGTTAATTCAGACATCTATGGAAAATCAGTACCTTGAGCCTACAACAATTTATGAAGTGTTTCACAAGAACCACAAATCCAAAGGTTTCTGGCATAGATATATTTAAGGAAATGGGATTCTAATTACACTGGTCCAATTGCCACACATGGCATAAATTTTCTAAATTACACTGTACTCTATAAATGTGTATAATTTTTATGTGACAATTAAAAATAAAAACTAGGAGTGACGCTGAGGAGGAATTCACTAACAGTACAAGGTTACAGTGGGAACAGATTCTAGTGTTTGTATAGTTGAATTTGAAAACAGGTAGAAGAGAAGGTTTCAATGTTTATATCACACACACATACATACACATGACTATTGTTTATGGTGACAGATATGCTAATTATCCTGAACAATATTACAATGTATCAAAAACATCAGTGTACCCTAGAGATGAGAATCATATGTGTTAACCATAATAGCTTATAAAAATTAAAAACTTTGTCAAGAGACTAAAATCAAAACTTATCAATCAAACTAAGCTTACCAATGTAAGGAGCAACCGATGGCACGTGAACCAGGCAATCTGGCTTTAACTATCTTTTCCACGAAAGGAAACTGTTCTTTTCAGTCAGGAAAAGAGTATTAGCTTACAGATGTTTCAGACATCATCTTGTTATGTTGCCCAGGTTGGTTTTGAACTCAAGTTTGAATGAGCCCCCTGCTTCCTACACAGCTAGCTGCTAAAGAAACAGTACTGATACAGAAGTCCCACCCATGCAGCAGACTGTGGGGCAGAATAGGATACACAGGCCTTCCCTGGGTAGGAAAAGATGAGTCCCGAGGCAGGAGTCAGGGCCTCAGGAGTAGGCCCTTACCACTCTGTCTTGGGCAAATAAGTAAACCGACACTCACCAAATCACCAGAACTTCAGAAACCACGAAGCAGCTCAAATCATGAAAACAATGTGTGATCAGCAGCCTGTAATCCCATCTAACCAGGAGGCTAAGGCATGATTACAAGTTCAAAACTTGCCTGGTCTATAGCATGAGTTAAAGACCAGCCCAAGAAACAGTGAGACCTGCCTGAAGGGTTGGGGAGACAGCAAGGGGGTCCTTAGTAGTGAAGTGACTGCTTAGCCTGCAGGATGCCCTGGTGCAACCTCCAGTTGTAGGGAAGGAAGGAAAAAATGAAAGGCAGGGAGGGAAGGAAAGAGGGAGGAAAGAGAGAAGGAAGAAAGGGAGGGAAGGGGGAAGAAAGAGAAGGAAGGAAGGGAAAAGAAGAGAAGGAAGGAAGGGGAAGGAAAGAGGGAAGGAAGGAAGAAGGAAGAAAGGGAGGGAAGGGAAAGGAAGAGAAGGAGGGAAGGGGAAGGAAGAGAAGGAGGGAAGGGGAAGGAAGAGGAAGGAGGGAAGGAGAGGAGAGAAGGGGGAAGGAAGAGAAGGAGGGAAGGGGAAGGAAGAGGAGAGAAGGGGAAGGAAGAGAAGGAGGGACAGGGAAGGAAGAGAAGGAGGGAGGGGAAGGAAGAGGAGGGAGGAAAGGGGGAAGCAAGAGAAGGAGGAAAGGGGAAGGAAGAGAGGGAGGGAAGGGAAAGGAAGAGAGGGAGGGAAGGGGAGGAGAAGGAGGGAAGGAAGAAAGGGAGTCAGTCAACTTCTGGAGCTAGCGATGTTGCGTACTGGTAGAGTGCTTGCATATAGAAAGCCCAGGATTTGATCACTGGCACCACCTTATAAAGAAACTCCAATTACCACAACAGGTCCTAGTAACAATGAGGCTGCAAAGCTCACTTTGTCAAGAACCAATGTGTTTTTCTCCAGATAGGAACTCAGAAACACAAGATCAAGAATCAACTGAATTCAAATATGTCTCCTCATTCAGGTTTTGTTTTGTGGGTTTGTTTTTTGCTGGGGATGGAACACAGGGCTTTAGGTCTATAACTCTAAGCTCTATCTACAAGCCAGCTTGAAGGGCTTGGGAAAAATAATATTTTATGAATATTCTTCCAAGCTACTTTCCATCTTTATGTACATTGATGAAATGCAGAGATTCTCTACTTTTAAGTGTATATATAAAGGATACCAGATTGCACTCATTCACAACTTGTTTTTTGTTGAGACAGGGTCTTACTATGCAGCCCTGGCTGTCCTAGAACTCACCACACAGACCAGGCTGCCTGCTTCTTCTGCCTTCCGAGTGCTGGGATAAAGATGTGCATGCCACGTCTGGCCAGAACTGTATTTTTGAAGCTCATTCCATGGTGACTGTTAGCTTTATTGGGATTAGCAGCTGCTTTCCAGCGCCCACACTACATACACTTCTGTCCACAGCACCTGTGTTCTTATCTCTCTACAAACGCAGACACACTGCATACACATTCTTTACACTTTTTGTTTCATTTTTGAAACAGTCAAGGCACAACTAGAACTCACTATGTAGCCTTAGCTGACCTTGAACTCATTATGATCCTCCTGCCTCAGTCTCCCCAGTGCTGTGATTACACGTGTACATTCCCACACCTGGCTGTCATTTAGAGTTTTACCAGCTCCATTGATTTGCACAGGTCTCAAGTAAGCTTCTGAGGAGAGCCAGGAGCAGCAGTGCCTGAGGTTAGTCAGAAATGCAGTCTTGGGCCACAGCCTGCAGAGGCTGGGCTGGGACCCAACAGTCTGCAGGTGAATCTGGCAGATACCCATTTACAGGTGATTGTTTAAATAATCCGACTGTGAACTCCAGGTGCACGAATTAATACTTTGCTACAATTAACTCCATCGTGGCCAAAAGAAACTTGTCCCTAAAAGATACGTTCTGGCAGCACTACCTGTCACAAGTTACAGTTGTTGACTGACCTAGGATGGCACTCCCTTAATCTTCCTCCCAATACTAACAATTACTGCAGAATCAAGGACTTACACTGCTTTGATAGAAGGTGAAAATAGCTACTACAAACCTCCAGCTTTTAAATAAACACTGGGCATTTTACCATGCCTTTGAATGATTCACGAACACACTTGGGAAGCGCTGCTCCAAACCTTGTTTAGTTTACTTTGGGGACTGAAAAACAAGTATGGTGAGCTATAAACTTTCTCCATGCTAATAATCCCCCGAGTACACTCCTGGGAGTCCTAGGAAAAGAACCAATAAGCGCAACAGACACAACTCCAGTACTCTGACATATGTATTATTTCAATAGTCTTAAAAGCAGACATGGCAGGAATGTAACCGGAACACAGAGAGGTTAAAGTAATGCCCAAAGAAATCCAGTGCTTGTTACATGTTGAGCCCTGTATGAAGTGCTTCATTTATATTTCCTTGCCTACTCAGTCCATGCCACAAGCCTTACAAAGGTCCAGTGACTATCCACCTCTCATTTTATTTTATGTTTTCAAAGATTTATTTCCTCTCTCTGTGTGTGTGTGTGTGTGTGTGTGTGTGTGTGTGTGTGTTAGGGGTGTGTGTGTGTGTTAGGGGTGTGTGTATGTGTTAGGGGTGTGTGTATGTGTTAGGGGTGTGTGTATGTGTTAGGGGTATGTGCGTGCGATTCCAAGTGCCCATGGAGGCCAAAAAAGGTCCCTGGATTCCCTGCAGCTGGAGTTTTGGGCAGCTGTGAGCCCCCCAGTGTAGGAACTGGAAATCAAACTTGGCTCTTCTGGAGCAGAACATACTATTAACTACTGAGCCGCATCTCCAACTCTTGTTACTTTTCAGGAGAAAACGAGGCTTAAAGAGATGAAAATGCAGCTAGGCTATAGTGGTAGCTTTTAATCCTAGCACTCAGGAGGCAAGCGATCTCTGGGAGTTCAAGGTCAGCCTGGTCTACAGAGTGAGTTCCAGCACAGCTGAGACTTCACGGAGAAAGCCTGTCTCAAAACACAAAACAAAGATGGAAATGTTTGTGTAGAAATATGTAGAACCTAAAGAAGAAAAAAAAATTGAGCTTAGCTGAGTTTAGTGGGTCACTTCTTTTAATCCCAACATTCAATAGGCTAACAGGATTCAAGGCCAGCATGGTCTACATAGCAAATTCTAGGATAGCCAGGCTACATAGTGAGACCACCCCAACCCCTCCTCACCCCCCAACCAAACCAAACCAAAACAAAACCAAAAGTGCTGAGAAGAGAAGATGGCTTAGTGAGGACCTGACTTTGGACCAGCACCCACATGAAAATCCAGGCATGGGGCTCAAACCTGTAAACCCACTTCTAGAGAGGTAAGCAGAAGAAGCCATGGAACTCGCTAGCCATCTAGGCTACCCAATTAGTTATCTATAGGTTCAGTTAGGGAGCTTGTCTCAAGCAATCAGATAAAGAAGAGGTTGCGGAAGACATTCAGCATCAGCATCTGACCTCTACACGTGCTCACGAACACAGGTGAATGGGCTGCAGACACCACACACACAACCTGAGCTTTTCTACTCCGGTCTTCTCCATTCCAACCCTAACAGTTCTTGATGGTGTTTTACTACAGTCTTGCTGTATTGCCCAGGGCAGTCTCCATCTCTCAGACTCAAGGGATCCTTCTGCCACAACTCTTAGGAAGCTAGGATTACAGGATATGGCGCCACAGTGCTAGCCACTTCATTTCTAGGAAGGGTTCTTAAGGATACGCGTGAGAGACCAGGTGAAGTCTATCTCAGAGTCTGGGCTGCTTTGTCACACTTATGTGAAAAGTAGCCCTCACAATTGGTTTATACGGGGTTTGCTAAGTTTTTCTCAAATACAAAAAACCAGTGCAAACAGTGTATGGGTATGTGTGTGTGAGGGAGGGTAAACTTAATGTTCTCTTTGTGTTCAAAACATACAAATCTTTTAATTTTGGTCAATACAAAATAAGGAGTTTTTGTCCAGTGGTAAATGCAGCTCCTAATTTTCCAGAACTTAATCCCACCACATTCACACTGTGGTCCACAGTCGGAAGAACACTTTCTTCAGTGTAATTTAAAGACTCAGAGGAGCAAAGCTGCAAACCCAGTTCTCCCACTTGGCCATTAAATGGGCCATTTAATTTCTCTGAGCCTTCATTTCTTCCCAGAAAGGGGGAAAATGACTATCTCTCTACTTTACTATTATAAACATCAAATAATAGACATAAAAACTCTATGAAATGAAAATCATAACTAGTACTGTTTCCAGCTTTAGTCCATCAGTACTGTTAGATGTGAGCCTCAGCAAACTGTAAAGTCATAACACTGATGGCATTACCCCTACTTTCTATCACAACACACGCCATTCCCATGATCACCAGTACTACCAAATTACTGCCATCTTTCCAGCAACTACTTACTAATGACAATCACAGAAAAGCTGAAAATGCTTTTCCTGTCTTTTTATCAGGGTCATGTGGGGATAAAGACAAAGAACTTCAAAGAAGCTTAGTTTATAAAAGACTTTTAGTTCAATCTTCAGCAAAAGCAGGAAAAGGAGGAAGAGAAAGAAGAGAGCCTGGTGGTGGTTATGCACGCCTTTAATCTCAGTACTCAGGAGGCAGAGGCAGGCGGATCTCCAAGACTGAGGCTAGCCTGGTCTACAGAGTAAATTCTAGGACAGCCAGGACTATTATACAGAGAAAACCTGCTTCAAACAAACAAATCAAAAGGAGGCAGAGGAGGAGGCAGTGGTAGCAGTAGACCTGTATGGATTGTTAAAGGACACATACAATATAAGGTTCTTTTCATATCTGGCCTTCAGGTGACAGTTACCATATCCTGTTTTCAACTGACTAAGCAATGGAAGCGCCTCTTCTCTCACCTCTCACACCACATCCATTCCTATCATTAAGGCAACAGCAGGGGTATGGCTGGGGTAGACTGCTCAAGGTTCTAGGTTTGACTCCTAGGAATGGCCCTGAGAGACCCGTAAATCTGCATGCTTAATCATCACGGAGTGGGGCTACTTGAGAAGAACTGGGGGTGTGGCCTTGCTGGAGGAAGTGTGTCACTCAGGGTGGGCTCCAAGGTTTCAAACGCCCAAGGCAGGCTCAGTATCATTTTCTCTTCCTGCTGCCTGTGGATCTGGATGAAGAACTCTCAGCTACTTCTCCAGTACCATGCTACATGCCACCATGCTTCTTGCCATGATGACAATGAATTAATCTCTGGAACTTTAAGCAAGCCCCAGTTAAATACTTTCTTTTATAGGAGCTGCTGTAGTTGCCAGGTGGGGTGGCACACACTTTTAATCCCAGCACTCGGGAGGCAGAAGCAGGAGGATTTCTGTGAGTTCGAGGCTAGCCTGGTCTACAGAGCAAGTTCCAGCCAGGGCAATACAGAAAAACCCGTCCATCTTGAAAAATAAAAAAGAGCTGCTATGGTCAAGGTGTCTCTCCACAGCAACAGGACATAAGACAGTGTCACAGTAAACACACATAAACATTTTAAGAAGGCGTTCTAGGATTTACAGGCATTATAACCTCTGTATCACAAAAATGCAAAAACAAAACCAAGTACTACCAAGTACAGAACAACCCGAGACCTGTGTCTCCAAGAACGAAATCACTCACAGTGCTTTCCACCACTGAATAGAGTCCGGACCAGAAGCTGAAGGTACTTTTATCCAGTTGATACAGTCGAGACTTCTCAAACGTGTCCGAGTCCATGATCTGCGCTAGCTCTGGTGGTACATGAGTTGTTGTTCTGTATATCCTTCTCTGAAATATTAATAAAAAGACTTTAATGAATATTTTTTTATTACACAATAGTAATTTGTGGTCAAATAACAAAGGTTCTGCAGCACCAGTTTGTCAGGTAAGCTTGTAGAATTTGTTACAGGCACGTGCAGACCACATTCAGTCAGGGACCCTGACTACTGAAACAAGTGTCACAGGAGAGTAGGAGCAGACAAAAATAAATAAATAAATAAATAAATAAATAAATAAATAAAAATTTAAAAAAAATAAATAAAAATAAAAAAATCCCAAGGTCAGGTGACTACGTGGAATGGCCATCTGGGTTGTAGTCACACTTCCGGTTTGCCGGTGTGAACCAAACTTGCAGCATCATAAAGGGATCACTCGTTCTGAGTATGATGGAAGTTTCCCAACACAGGAAGCAATGCATGATAACAGAGAAGCAAGAATGCTTACGACACATTACACACATCAACAGACACATTTGATATAATAATGGCTCATCATTAAATTTGGTCCTAGAGGTCAAATTAAGGCACAGAGGAGTGACAGAAACTTATCAAATCTTTACAACAAATTTTCTCACCACGTCAAACTCTAAAAGGTAATTCCAGTTCCTAGGACATAACATAGGGAACAGATACCAAAAGGTGTAATAGACCAGATCTTCTTCAATGGTTTTAAAACAAACACTTTTTCTACCATATGTTAACAACAACAACAAAAACCCACCAAACAAGGCCACCTGAAGGCATTAAGGAATAACCTCACAAAGATGTTCCTAGGCATAGTAGTGAACTGTAAGGTTAGCGCTCAACATCTCAACCTGCTGGGGCTGCTGTATGCTGTGTGTTTGCCTCAGGCAAGGGTACTTATGCAAGTCTGAACTACTGAAGCTCTGAGTACCTAGCTATAGTAATTTAAGACTTGGAACATACTAAAGGAGGAGACTGAGGCACAACCTAATGCTGACACGTTTTTTTAAGCAAACAAACAGACAAACAAACTGGGTAGTGGTGGCACCCGCCTTTAATCTCAGCACTCAGGTGGCAGAGGAAGGTAGATCTCAGTGAGTTTCAGGACAGCCAAGACTATTACACAGAGAAACCCTGTGTTGAAAAAAACAAAAACAAAACAACAACAACAACAAAAAACCTTGCAGTTAAGAGATTCATGAAGGCTGGCAATGTAGCTCAGTGGAAGAGCACTTGCTTGGCAAATAAATTTGTACATACACACACACACACACACACACAGGGACGCACCCACACACACAGTGTAAATTAAAAAAAAAACTGCAGAAGAAAAAAGGCTGCAATGCTCAAGAAATAGGTCCAACAGTTAAAGGGAAAGGTTCTCAAGGACGTCAGAGAATGGGGTTAAATTAAGCCAACCAGCAGTGAGAGACTAAAATAAAGACTCAGTTACAAAGTCCATCTCACTTAAAACGTTCAAATTTCTTCAAACTGTTCATTATGGCTATATCCGGGGAACCGTTAGCTTCTCCACTGCACTACTCAAAATTTTAAACAAAAACAAAGGGGACGTGCTAATGAAAACCGGACACACAAACACATATATTTTGGGCTCCAAACCGCATAAGCACTAAAGAGGATTTTGAAAAAGAGTGCGGGCCTTTCAAAAAAAAAAAATGTTTCCTAATCCTGTGGTTGAGCAAGGCAATATCAATGTCATGGCAAGCTGTTACTCTAAAACTTTAGCCTCTCCATTTAGACAGCTTATACCAAAGACAAAGGGGTCAAGCTTGGGCCCAAGGATTCTAAGGTGCTGTAACGCAGGCACAGACAGGCTCTAGCTTGACCGAGGACGGCTTTCCTCTCATGAGACGCTAAGAGGCTTGGGTCCCATTACACGGTGCAGACAACTTCCTGCCGTCCCAAGAACCCCTCAAAGTCACAGTCAGCACTGGGAAAATTTAGGGAGCTCACTGTGAGTTAAGGAGTACAGAGACTGGTGCTACGCCTGGGAGAACCTCTAGGGACTTGGGTGGAGGCACAGGCTAATCTAAGGCTGCCCAGGGGCTGGGGTCGGGGGGCCGTCTATGCTTACCTGCCGCTGTGCTAGAAAGGTCTCCCACAGATACACGGTCCAGGAAAAGAGTAATACCGCCCCGAAGATTCGCTTCTCCACAGGGAAGTTCCACATAGTGTCCACCGATGCCCACATCCCCATGGTCACCCAATTCCACCCGCTCCTTCAGCGTGCACCGGTGCCACACCGACTCGCGTCCCTCAGAGTGCCAGCGGTGTCGCAGCGATATGGGTCCCTTAGCCTCTTCACACTCCCATCCCCTCAACGACGCTAGCAGTGTCACAAAGACACTCTTCCCCTTTCTTACTCCCTCAGAGCCTACTCATTTCTGCTAATTAAGACATGCCCCACCTTCCTCACTTCCGGCCCGAAGACCGAGCGGAGGTACACCTGAAACATCCCTCCGGACTCTGCGCCGGGGAGTCCAACTCAAAGGTTCCGGGCTCCTTCCGGGGAGGGTCCGCGTGGTCGCCGCCTCTCTTGCTTTGGCGGCTTCCCCAGAGAAGGCGGTCGACTCTTGTGCCGCTGTTGTGCAGGCCGGTTGGTAGCCAGGTTTAGCGGGAACTGACACGGCGGGCCCACTCCTACCTGGAAGTAGCTGGGAAGGATGGGAGAAGCTCTAAAACTTTCCCTTCTTCTATTTAGTGCCGTTCAGAAGATTAGAGAGGCATCGCTGGGATAACTAGCCAAACAAGGCATTACAGCTGGGTCATACCGCTTGTCTTGGGAAGTCCTGACTTCGGGAGTCTTAGAGAGGGTGAAAATTACACTACTGATGAGGACTTTTATTTAGACATTTCATCTTATTCTTCCCAAGTGCAGTCAGAGGGGGCATGTTGCCTGTGTGTCCTGGGACAAGGCAACTATGGATAGCATTTCTAACCCCAAACAGGCAGGGTGAGCTTGGTGGCCACTGTCTGAAATCCCAGCAAGACCTTGTTTCAAATGCCTCCTCCAACACTCCCCCCCCCCACACACACTCACACAATTCAGTACAGTTTTGCCTTGGAATTCATCAATGAAATGGGGTCACTGACCCCTGTTAATACATTGAATTTGCTTGAAAAGTGAAGTCAGATTTTTTTTCTGAACAAAAGTCAATGTAAATACGATTTAGTTAATAGTTTCTAAAAACTGATTTTGCTAATTTGCATAATCATTTATAGTGAATTGAGCTAAGTCTGTAGCTTCACCTAAAATATATGTAAATTATGGTGAAATTGTAATGCTAAAGATGTGTTGAGATTAACAAGGTTTCAAATTTCTCAACTGTGCCGAAATTCATCCACCTGAGAGTAATCAGTATAAGCCACCAGACATTGTGAATTATTTCAGTATAATAGGATCACAAACTCTTTTGCAAACCAAATGTTCTTTGGGGAATTTTTGCTTCAGCAAAATCAGTGGTGTGCATGATTGACTGTCAGCAGAACTTCGAGTTTTAGAATGTAACAAGAGTAAACAATTGGTTGACATTATCAAGAACTACTACCATTTTTTTTTAATTTTAAAAATTCTTTTGTGTGTATATATGTTTTGCCTGTGTGTATGTCTGTACATCACCCTCGTGCAGTGCTCGTGGGGGCCACAGAAGGCATCGTATCCTCTGGGACTGGAGCTGTAGGAGGGTTGTGAGCTGCCATATGGATGCTAGGAATTGAACCCTGGTGGGCTTCAGGAGTAGCTAGTACTTACTGCTGAGCTATTGCTCCAGTACCCCATTCTTTTTTTTTTTTTTTTTTAGTTTTTTTTCAGTACCCCATTCTTATCTATTTATTAAAGTACTTCCTGGGGCTGGAGAGATGGCTCAGGGATTAAGAACACTGGCTGTTTTTCCAGAGGTTCCAATATCAATTCCCAGCACTCCCATGGCAGCTCACAACTGTCTATCACTCCGGCACCAGGGAATCTGACACCCTCACGTAGATATACATAGAGGCAAAACACCAATACACATAAAATAAAATAGCTGTTAACACTTCTAACAAAACAGGAAGTGAAAGTGAATTGACCCTGTTGGTTTAGCAGTACGAAATACACATGCAGGAAGCAGGAACATGAGTTGATGGGAAAGCCCCATTTGTAAGTCCCTGCCACCTGCCACACAAGCAAAAGCCAGGCACTGGATCTTTGTGTTTTATGATGAAAGCCAGCAGTCCGAAAATAGTAGATTAACATTCGAAGGCTCTAACATCTTTCCCCACCAACACCTCATTTTCAGCCAGCAGATTATATATGGGAGGAAAACAAGCAGTCGATCATCTCAGTCTTGCCCCTCTGGTCAGGTGGTGGTCTTCTCTGTCTCTGAGATTCATTTTGCTGGAGCCTTCTTCCTCATCACCTCCATTCTCTGTGCAGCAGGGGAAGGTTCACACACACCAATGCCACCGAATCTTGTGTTGCTCTTGAATTCCCTAGACTGACAGCTAATTAGCAGCATGTAATATAGAGCCCCTTCATTATAGTGAAACACAAGTACGTGTGTCTAATTCCCAATAGAGTTCTTGTTCCCCTCTGAAACCTCAGAAGCATGACCTCCGTTGATTGCATTTGCATTGATGGCCTGCTCTTCCAAACTCTCATCAGAATAAGTTCTGCTATGACACTCCAGAACTCCTCTAGCACACAGCGTGAAACTCATCCATATTCCTCCTACGAACCAGTTAGAAAGGCTGACGAACAAAAGTTGGGTTTATCACAACGAAGATTACATCTCCTGGGACTGATTTTCTGTATTAGTTACTTTGACAAAAATCCCAGAAAGCAGCAACTGGGGATCTATTGCTCATGGGTTTGAGAAGGTACAGTTCATTGTGGTGGGGCAGGCAGGGAATCGGAAGTAGCTGCTTCTGTGGTAGCGGGAGCATGAGGTTGCTTGTTCACACTTCAGTGGACCAGGAAATAAAGGACTCAGGCCAGAACAAGAGTTGATATAAGGCCCTAGCAACCTATTTCCTCCAGTAAAGGCCCACATCCTAAAGATCCTATAATCTCTAATCTCCCAAAACATTGTATGAGGATGAAACACATGAACCTATGGGAAATATTTCATATCTAAGCCATAATAAATAACCACCCTCGTCCATTAGAAAGTATTCCTAAATTTTCAAGATGGTTCTCTTTTTAAACTGGGAGGGAACAATTTGTACTCAACTTCATGTCTGTTCTCTGCCCCTATCTCTAGTTTTATATGGGAGGGGGAGTTTTAAGACAGGGTTTCTCTGTGTAACAACTCTGGATGTTCTGGAACTCACTCTGTAGACCAGGCTGGCCTTGAACTCACAGAGATCTGCCTGCCCTGGCTTCCTAAGTGTTGGAATTAAAGGTGTGAGCCACCACTGCCCAGCTCCTCTCTATCTTTAAAACAAACATGTGTATACAGGTCCGGATGCAGTGGCATACACTTTAATCCCAGCAATTGGGTAGCAGAGGCAGGAGGATCTCTGTGAGTTGGAGGACAGCCTGGTCTACATAGTGAGCTCCCGGACAATGGGAGCTACATAGACCATGTTTCAAAAAAACAAAATTAAATTAAAATATGTATACAATCATAGCAGTGTATGTAGTTGGTGGGCTTTTTTTGTTTGTTTTTGTTCTTAGGGGACCCACGACCCAGCTCCCAAATAAATACACAGAAACTTAATCTTACTTATGAATATCCGGCTTTAGCTTATTTTGTTTCTTTAACTACATTTTGCCTCTGGGCTTTTTAATCTTTCTTTACTCATTTTTCTTTGTTTTGTTCATACTCTGTGGCTGGCTGTGTGGTTGTGTGGCTGGCCCTTAGCATCCTCATCTCATTCTTTCCTCTTCCTTCTCTCTTCTCCAGAGCCTAGATTTCTCCTCCTATTAATTCTCTCCACCTGGAAGCTCTGCCTATCCCTCTCTCCTGCCTAACTTATTGACCATTCAGATCTTTATTAGACCAATCAGGTATTTTAGACAGGCAAAGTAACACCTTTATAGAGTTAAACAGATGCAGCATAAAAGAATGCAATACATCTTTACATCATTAAACAAATGTTCCATATCATAAACAAATGTAACATGTCTTAAACTAATATTCCACAACAGACCTCTGTCTCCAGAGTATTGAGATTAAAGGCCCATGTCTTCCTTTTGAAAACCAATGATTCCAATTATTGTTGCCTGTGTGGGTGTGGGCCATCTATTAGAACATGGGCAACCTACCAGTGGCCACACCTCCAAAGAAAATGATTCTCTATTCCATGGCAGCCAGTAAGTGTCAAAAACTGCCGTTGTGGGATTCCTCTCTGTATGCTGTGAATGCCATTGGTTAATAAAGAAACTGTCTTGGGCCTGTGCAGGGAATAGAGGTAGGCAGGGAAAACTAAACTGAATGCTGGGAGAAAGGAGGAGAAGTGAGAGAAAAGCCATGTAACCCTGCTGGAGACAGACACCAGATGGAACTTTACCCGGTAAGCCACATCAATGTGGTGATACACAGATTAATGGTTGTGTGCTTATTTCAGGAGTCTCGGCGGCGGGAAATGAACAAGCAGCCTCCTTATAACAAACTTCTAAGCTAAGAGTGAGGCCCGGTGAGTCTCACCCTCATCAATACTAGAATTTTGACTGTATCGATCTTATAGAAGTGACTGAGTTTGCGAGCGTGATGGCGTCATTTCTGCAGAGAGCATTTTAGAACACTCTTGCCATCTCTGACCCTCACATTCTTTCCATTTCCTCTTCTTCAATGTTCCCCTGAATCTCGAGGGCAGGATGGTGATAGGCAGTGTGTCCCATTTAGAGCTGAGCGCTCATAGTCATTATTTTTAGTAGCTTGACCAGCTAGACGTCTCTGTATACCCACTGAAAGGAAAAGAAGTTTCTCTGGGGCAGAAAGATGCCTCAGTAGTTAAGAGCACATGCTGCTCTTCTAGAAGTCCTGAGTTCAATTCCCAGGAACCACATGGTGACTCAACAACCACCTATAATGAGATCTAGTGCCCTCTTCTGGCATGCAGCCATACATGCAGGTAGAATACAGTATACATAATAAATATACTAAAAAAAAAAAGAGAGAGAAGAAGGAGGAGGTGTTGACAGAGATTTTCTGTCCTGCCTGATCCCACAGTTAAGTACCAAAGAAATCACATAGAAGTCTGCATTAATTATAAATTTATTGGCCGAGTATCTCAGGCTTCTTATTAACTCTTTTTTTAAATATTTATTTATTATTTATGTATACAATATTCTGTCTGTGTGTATGTCTGCAAGCCATAAAAGGGCACCAGACCTCATTACAGATGGTTGTGAGCCACCATGTGGTTGCTGGGAATTGAACTCAGGACTTTTGGAAGAGCAGGCAATGTGCTTAACCACTGAGCCATCTCTCTAGCCCCTTCTT